CAATTGTGTGTCATGATCAGTTGCCTGAGCCATCAGCTCGGCGACCTAAGAGATAAAGCAAAGGCTGACTCTGCTGTCCTGTCCCCAGATTCTCCCCTGGACCTGCCAAAGCAGGACTTTGTCAGCCTAGCACATCGTACTGTTCTGCCCCAAACTTTTCTTTTTGTAAGTGGAATGTATTAAAATGGTAAAAGCACAGCACAGCAAGCATGTAGCATGATAATGTCTCATCAAGTGTGGCACGTTATGTGTAATTCGATAGGGTACAATTTTAAGGTTTTTTAGTGTGTGTGTGTGTGTGTGTGTGTATCCAGGTGCCCTTAAAGTGCAGAAGAGGGCACTATAACTTATCCTCTGGAGCTGGGGTTACAAGTGCAGTGAGCCACCTAATATGGTTCCTGGGAACCAAACTCAAGTCCTCTGAAAGAGCAACTAGTGCTCTTAACCACTGAGCCACTTCTCCAGCCCATGGGCTAAATAATCTTATAGAACCAACACCTGGCCCACGGTTGACCAAATAACACCTTAAAGTATAACTTATTTTTGTACCTTTTTTTTTTTTAAATTTAGCTTTGTGTGTGTGTGTGTGTTTTGCTTGTGTGTATGTCTGTGCACCACAGGCGTGCCTGATGCAAACACATCTTAAGAGATCATCAGAGGCCCTGGAGCTGGAGTTAAGGCTGGTTATTAACCACCATGTGGATACCAGGAATTGAACCTGGGTCCTCTGTAAGAGCAGCCAGTGCTCTTAATCACTGAGCCATCTCTCCAGCCCCCCTTTTGTACTTCCTAGGGAATTATATCAACCCAGTGTGCACTTCTGTCCACATTCATGGTCCCCACCTCGGTCCAAGCCCTCCCCACTTGTGTGTTCTGCATTCTGCATTCTCCTTGCTGTATCCTTTCTCTGCTCTCCCACCAGAGATCCTAACGACAGCCCCCTCCCTGTAGTCATGCTCACACTAACCTGCCGCTCTTCAGACCCCTCAGCCCTCTCTTTCTCCTGTAGATGACTCGCCTGTGCCCATTCCCACTCCCAAAGTCAGCTCCTCCTCAGTCTTGAGAGTTGAACTCAAATGTCACCTCCAGACCCTTAGATCGGCTCACTCATCCTTTCTAAGCTCATAAGTCAACTCTAATCAGATAACCATGTGCACAGTGGCATATAAATGAGTCGTTTTGTGCTTCAGGCTGCCTGAGGGCAGACGATGGTGGTGTTTTTGCCTGCTTTCCCCTCACCTGCTTAGGGCGAGGGGAAAGCAGACACTGTGGTCCTGGAGCAGGTACTGCTGCAGAGTGAAGGCTGCCAACCAAGGACAGTGAGAGGCAAACCCACGGCCCCGCCCCAGATGAGGTCCCCCACCCCCTTTTGCTGACTCCTGGGCCTTATCTCATACAGGCCAGCTAAGCAGCTTGTGACTTTGGGTAAAGATGAGGAGACAGGCTTTGGGGAGATTAGATAAAAGTAAGCCTTGATACATGATAAAGGACAACTGAAAATACGAAAATCCTGTTTTGGATAAAAATGTAGAAGCTTTCAAGGAGGTCTAGTTAAAATGAGAAGATCAAATAGCAAAGAAAGTAACACTTCAGAGAGACCAGCTCAGCTGAAAGCCTTGATGAACCCGGCCCTGGCTTTCTCCTTCCCCCTCCTGCCAAAGAACAGTTTATGAGACTTCACTTAGCTTCATGTGTTTCCAAAACACTGCTAATTCAAATATTATCTTAAGGCCGCCTCTTGACTTTAATCCCAGCACACCAAGGCACAAACAGGTGGATCTCTGTGAGTTCTAAATAGTGCTTTCCAGACTAGCCAAGGCTACCAGTGAGACCCTATCTCAAACAAGCAACAACAAAAATAAATAAATGTGCAGAATTATTTAAGACTAGGGAAGACCCTAAGAGCGTTTGCTGTCTGGAAAATCAGCAGTCCTGATTTGTCATTGACATGAAGGCTATGTTCCTTTTGGTTCTTCTCTATGTCATCCCTGGAGGATCCCATCCACCTCCGCACTTCAGCCACCTTCGCTAAGTCCTCCTGCACACCTCAGAGGCTTCCCATCCAGCTTGTCTTCTTCAGCCTCTTCTCTTACAGGGCTCCCAGGCTCCCCTCCACCCTTGCCCCTCTTATCTGGAGACCTGAGGGGCATTCTGGCTCCCACAGATAAGACAGCATTCGGAAGCTATGACACCCCAGGGAACATGTCAGGTCCTCGGGGTCAGATGTGGAGGGCAGGGGCCCAGAGCCCAGCAGCTAGCCTTCAAAGATCTAACCTGTGGGCAAGGAGCCTTGCCTTCTTCGAGCTCTGACCATTCTCCAGGGAAGCCAACTCCTACCCTTTGTTTCCACACCTTTGTCTAGCTAACAATGGTTCAAGAGTTAGTGCAGGGGTTGGTAAAATGGCTTAGCGGGTATAAATGTTTGTCACTCTCGATCTCACCAGGGGAGAATAAGACCACGACCACAGTTTTCTGTTTGTTTGTTTGTTTGTTTGTTTGTTTTTTGTTTTGGTTTGTTTGTTTTTTTTTTTTTTTTTTTTAGCCAAATCTGAAGCAAGCTTTATTAAATACTGGCCAGGACCATGACTAAAGGCCAGGTCCACACTGGGGATTCACTGAATTACATTAAGCAGAGGCTTATAGAGGCAAGCCTGCAAGGTTACATACATCCTGCCTTCATCCAATCAGAAGCAAAAATATACCCTGACTTCCTGCCTGCATGTGATCAAGCACATATCCTGTGCAGTTGGTGTAACCAAGCTTGTTAACAGAAGCGGAAACACACAGCTTGTCTCTTAAATGAACCACAGGGCCCAGCGTTCGAAGATATTATGTCATTGGGCAAGTGGGGCTTACAAGTGAGGCTTTTATGTCTTAAGCACAATCATGTAAAGTTAAAACGTAACTTTAGCTATCACACAACCAAGCCTAATGACCATCTTTTACATGTTATCCCCTGACCTACACACCCACCAAAGAAAAATGTAATTTAGAAATTAAAAAACAAATAGTTATTTCAGTCCTCGCCTGCTGCAAAAATACTTCCTAACTTAGGACTCACGCACAGGTTGCCCTCTGCCACACTGATTGTGTTCTTGTGCTTCCACAGCAGAAAGAGGCTCTGGAAAAGCTGGCTAGGGTAGTCTATTTATCTCTTAGCTCTATAGGAAGTAGACAAGAGGAAATGGGTGAACAGACAGGGTTCTGTGTGTGCCTTTGGAAACATGTTGAAAGTTTATAGTGAACCCTAAACGAACACCATTCTATTTCAGAAACAGCCATTCATCTTCATACTTACATTCTCTACATAAAGAATTACCAATTAAAAGCATATCTTTTATTCAGTTGTGATAGTAGGATTGGATGATATATGATTATTTAAGATAAAATAACCATGGTTAGTCATTAGATCCTTGGACCAAAATTAAAAGGAAATTCATGTTTATAAAATTCCACTTAATCAGGGTTATGTTCAGCTGTATGCAACACAAAGGTCCCTTTTTTTTCTAGATAATACTCCTTTTATTGAATGATCATTTTGTTCTGTCTTAAAAATAGTGGCAAATAATATAAAATTCTAGATAATTTGCATTTACTCCAAAAATGTGTGCTAGAATCAGTTTAAGTTTAAAACATCCAAGCATCCGTATGAACAGCTGAGAAATTTTGCCTGCCTGTGAGGACTACCAGGAAGCTCTGTGTCAGTCAGCTTTCTGTTATAACGGACAACCAGTTCATGAAGGGAAGAGTTTTATTTTTGCCTCACAGTTTCAGAGTTTCAATCTAGGATGGCTCCATCTGTGTTTGGGCCTTTGGTGAGGAATCACATCATAGTGGGAATGTGTGACTGAACAAAACTGCCCACTTCATGGCCAGGAAGGGCAAGCTAGAAAAAGGAGGAGACAGAGCATGGCCTTGCAAAGGCTTCAGTGTCACTGGACTCTATCTCTTAAAGTCCCGCCTCTCCCAATGGCACCTCGAGGGACTAAGCCTTTGAGCCTTTAGCACAGGATCCCTAGGGAACACTTAATTTTGAGTCTATATCAAGGAGCGTAAGACGTGAGGAGTCCTTCAGTATGTCTGCCTGGAGGGCATCCCCAGATCTAGTCACAGGGGCTGCCTTGCTTGCTGTCCTTCAACCTCGCTGAGTTGTCTCAGGCACCTACCTCGACTACCCATCCCCTTCTTTATGCTCTCACCTGAAAACTCGCTATTCATTTGTTGCCTGCATGCCATCTGACCAAGAATGACACAGGAAGCCTTCATCTACCTTCCTGTTGAGGTTTCCCGAGATCAGGCACTGGGGCTGGTGCAGAACACCTGGGGACGGTATGGGTGTGTGTGTGTGTGTGTGTGTGTGAAAGAACTGATGTCCACCCTATGCATGCACTGGCTTCTCGTTGAACTCGCCTTACAAAAGTCAGCTTCCACTGGGATTCGCCAGATCCCTTTCCCAGCTTTGTCTTTGTAAGTAGGAGCCAAGCCATAAGCAGAACACTTTAATCAGATCAGAGTCTGAGATCTTCTCTCCTCCTGAGAAATCCCCAGCTCGGCTGAGGCATATGTACAGCAACTCCAGTGCCATGCCCCACTGCCTCAAGAACACCATGCTTTTGGTATGGGAATGAGTGTAGATCTATGTATGTATGTGAGCTAGATACATGTCTGGGGTCCTTGGAGGCCAGAAGAGGACACTGGATCCCCTGGCACTGGAGTTAGACAGTTGTAATCCATTATCTGGGTGCTGGGAATTGAACCAGCCCCCCCCCCCCACTTAACTCTTAACTACTGAGTCAGCTCTCCATCCCCAAGAACAGGATGTACTTTGTTTGTAGTCCAGCTGTCCTGGAACTCACTACATCAAATGGGCTGGCCTCAAGCTCACAGAAATCTGCCTGCCTCTGTGCCGTGCACCATTATAACCCAACAAGAGTATGATTCTTGATATGAAAATGCTTATGAAGCCTCCACTATGTTAAGATTTGGTTTCTGTCTTTCAGGTCGACCCTCAAGGGGGCTGTGAAGTGAACTTGGTGTTTAGTACAGAGCGCTACAACCCCGAGCAGGTAAGCCGCCCTGCGTAGTGACGTCACCTTTAGCAATGTCCACGAATACAGTCTTTCGAAGAAAAACAGAAACGCCTAACAAATCAAGCCTGGAGATAGTTCTTTTTTCATCCAGTTTGCTTTTAAGAGCAGAAGAACAAAGTGTAGAAGACCGAGTACCCACTAAGTGGTGGAGAAAGGCCTGGCTGGCGGCAGGTGAACTACCCTTCACAGCAATAGGAAAATAGCTTATTGAGTACGCTGAAGGAGGCCAGCAGGCTGCGCTGTGACTGGGATGTAGCCGGCAGGTAAGGCAGGACTGGGGGGGGGGGGGCTCCACTGGGGAGTTACTTCTACAGTCGTGCTGAAGGTTTTTCCTTAAGTCAATAGGCTCAGTTTTCATTTAAAAATTACTTTAATTCATTTAAAAGTTTGAAATTTCCATACACGTATACGGTACGTGTTTTGAACGTCTCCATCTCCTACTGCCCTTCTCCTCCTGGTGACCCCCCCCCCCCCCACCGAAAACACCCACCAACCTCTCTCCCTATGCTCATTACCGTCACTGCTGTGATTATTATCCATAGCACACGGGTCTAACTGGTACTGGCCACGCAGATGTGTGTGGCGTGAGCAGCCTACCAGCGGCCACATCACCAAAGAAAAGCGAGTCTCCCCCTCCCCCCGCAGCCACCAGTTGCCAAGTTTCTCAGCTAGGGGTGGGGCCTCAGCAGCTCACCCGCTTCGGATGTGGGATGTGAGTCGTGAGTCGACGTGCGCATCAGTCACGTCCTGGAAGACAGCTTTTAAAAATTGCTCTGTGTGTATGGGTGCTTTGCCTGCCTGCCTGCGTGTCTCGGCACTGGGTGTGTGCCTGCAGGCAAGTCCGTGAACTCAGCATGTGCCTGGTGACCCTGGAAGCTGGAAGACGTTGGACTCCCCTAAAACTGGATTACAGGCAGCTGTAAGCTGCTGCATGGGAGTGCCGCCAATCAACCCTGGGTCACCTGGAAGAGCAGCCAGCGCCCTCGAGGCTGGGCCATCTCTCTAGCATGAAGACAGCCTTTTCATAGGTTTCAGCCTCTCCCTCTGGCTCTTACATTCTTTCTGCACACCCTTCTTTGCTGTTCCTGAGCCTTGCAGGGGGAGGTTGGCGCAGATCTCCTGTTTGCTCATCTGTGGCTGAGAACTCACTCACTCTCCGAATTTTGACCAATCATGAGTCTCAGCACTGCTGGCCGCTCACTGCAGAGCGAAACTTTTCCAACCAAGGTTGGAAGTAACTCAGCTCTGTGGGTGTAACAGTTCAGAAGGCCCTGGGACAGCCTGACCATTTGTCAGAACAGCAGCCTGGGGGCTAGAATTGCCAAAGCCTCGGCTTTCAGCAAGGCTTACAAAACCAGAGGTGAAATCACTGCCGTGGAACAGACCTCACGTTCCGGCAGAAACTGATTGGTTACCTCCGTACGAATCACACCGCTACCGCCCCAGTGGGTACAACTGTCCTGGCAGGTCAGTGCTCCAGCTTGCAGAGTCTAGTGATGAATAAGACAACTGATCAGTTTTCTCCCCCAGCAGCCTGTGGAGCACTTTCCAGCCCTGTGGAAACCAGGCAGCAGGGAGACTTTCCTGGTCAGTTTGAGACTGATTTCTTGATGTCCCACAACCCTGGTTGATGCCTTCAGTAACAGGGTGCTATTTAGTCGTGATGTTTGGGGTACATCCAGAGCCTCCCTGACTAGCGAGGTCTCCTGTGCTCAGCACCTAACATTTTCTTTTAAAACCCATTTCTTCTGGGAGACGGTGTTTCTTTGAGTGGCGTTTCACGATGGGCAATTCCTGTCACGTGAAGGTGGACAGATCACGTTGGCAGGCATACTGTTCTGGAAGTTAGCATGAGCCACTTTGTACATAATTTCCAGGTGTGCAGTCTCAGCCATGTGATCAGGAACCATGCAAATTAGAGAAGTTCTAGTTGGTCACCTATCTGTCCTGGTTTCAAAGGCTCAGGTCACGGATGTCAGGCTGCAGCTCTGTGGCCACAGCACTTTGTGGTAGCAGTTGGAATTCCTGGACCATGCTTGAGGAACAGCTTCCTTATCTGATCTCTCTCTCTCTCTCTCTCTCTCTCTCTCTCTCTGTCTCCCTCCCCGTTTTTGTTTTTTGAGACAGAGTTTCTCTGTCTAGCCTTGGCTGTCCTGGACTCACTTTGTAGACCAGGCTGGCCTCGAACTCACAGAAATCTGCCTGTCTCTGCCTCTACCTCACTGAGTGCTGGGATCACAGGCATTTGCTGCCATACCCCATGCCCACTCTCTCATCTCTTATTAACAGCTTCAAAAAGTAGTGGCTGTATACATCTGCGTTTAAAGCTGTCCACATGCCTGTTTTTTTCCTCTTCCTTTGGGGCCCCTGGGAGAGAATTTCACAGCTCCCTTGGGTGTCCCTCCTCACACGCCATAGTCCTAAGAATGACTCACTGTGAAATGTCAATGTGTTCTTTTCCCTGGCAGCTGGTGACATTTCTAGCTGGCAGGCTGGCATAGCACAGGGCCAACTCCATATCAGGTTAAATAATCACGTACATAGAGACACTGCATAAAACACGCATCTGTGCCCATGCATGCTACCCACATAAGGTGCCTCACTGCATGCCCGTCACACAGCCCAGGATTTGCCAAGTTGCCTTCACTCAATCTTCAGGAGAGAGAGCAAGCAGAAAACCGCTGTGGAAATTAGAAGCAGATGGACATCGCTGTGAGGAGCTAGACTGGGAGGCCGGCCCAGACTGTCAGCAGTGGTCTGGGTCTTCGAAGCCTGGGAACTGCAGGCCATGCCTCACATCAAAGAGTCACAGGGAGGTGGACCGTCAGAGGACAAGGCATGCTATCCCCAACTCAGTACCCCTGAAGAGGGCCGAGCAGAATTCACAAACAATACCCTCAGACTTGGCTTATTAGCCTCACAGTTAGCTTTTCTCTAAGGATTGGGAGGATGCTTAATTCTTTGCACACTGAAAGCACAAGAGTAGAGCTAACGGGATAACAATTCCTGGGTTGTTCTGACCCACAATGCGTTCTCCTGGACTTGGTGGAGTGCAGCTAGCTAACCAGCATGGAGGTGAGTCCTTCATCTTTACTGCCCTGCTTCCATGGAGCTGTGCGGTGGGGGCCAAACCAAGGAGACATGGAGACCCACATCTTTCCTCTTCCCTGAGAATGGCTGACACCAAAGTTGACGTGGAGGGCCGCTCTGGTACAACCTCAAAGAGCCTTCCAGTTTCTCTGTGCCGCGCCAGCAATTAGCATGATGCACCCCAGGAACCCCCTCCCACCTGGAACCAGTACTGCAGGAGAGCGGTTGCCCAATGGGGAGCTTATTTCGGTGTTTTTGAACTAGCTTTAGACACAGGCTTATTCTGAAGACTTTGATTATAATTTCTTTCACTGTGGGCCTTTCAACTTTATTTCCAGTTCTTGCCTTAACCAGGGTGCCATTTAAACCCTGAAAAGGAATGAAGGTTGCTGCTTCAGCTGGCCACATGTGGATAGGACACCCTGACTAGGAACTCCTGGCTCGGTTTGGGTGGGGCTGCAGCTGGTGACTGTGAATTCCTCATTCCAAGTCTAACGTTGGTGGTGTGAGCATGTGTGTTTTTCCAGGGACAGGTCCTTGGCTTTAATGGTCAGCTTAAATAACCTTTACCAAAATGGGGAGGAATCACTACTCAAGAGCATCCGACTGAAGCTCCGGTCTTCGGATTTGAAATAAGTGAGGGTGAGCACAGGGTCCACAGTGCAGACAAGCATGACTCTATGCAAGACTGGGGTGTCCGCTTTGGATCAGCCCTCAGAATAGAAAGGCAGAATTATTACAGTGCAGGTTAGTGGCCGAGCTCACATGGAAACCAATTCAAGTCCTGAGATCCAAAGATGTGAAGTGGGTTCCTTTGTAAACTTCAGCGTTTTGGTCTTTAAGTGTGGAATGAAAAGAGCTAATCCATGCATGGATGTGATGGTATTTGTGTTGATAGGAACCAGCTTCGTCTTCCAATTCAAGTTAGTAAGCTTAACATCCAAGCTCCCATTGTGCTGGTTACACAGTGAAGCAGCCACTGTCCAAAAGTCTGTGCCAACAACCGCTCAACAGACATCAATGCTATCTCTCTAGGAGAGGCCCAGCATTACTATGTAAAGAGGAAACCAGACGATAAAAGTTAAAATGACAGCAAAGATGGAATACTACTGTATTGCTGTGTCTTAGTTACCTTTCTGTTGCTCTGATAAAACAGTAACAAAAGCAACAAGAGGAAAAGGAATGGCCTAGCTCACAGTTCAAGGGCACAGTCCACCACAGCAGGGAAGTCACACGGTGCCCACAATCAGAAAGCAGGGAGTGATGAATATACAGGGTGCTCACCTCGTTTTCTCCACGTATACAATCTAGGATCACATACACTCACACCGAATTGATTAACACAATCAAACCCCCCCCAGCATGCCTCTAGGCCCACCTCCCAGGTGATTCTGAGTTCTAGCCAGGCTATAACCACAAGCCATGGAGCACAAAAAACCACCTTCTATAACGTTCAGCCCTGTCCACGCCAGCCAGCCAAGCTCGCCGGCTTCTCGGTCTGTGTCTGTGTGAACTACAGGGAGTACAGTCGGTAAGGAGCCTCCCTAGGTAACCTCCAAACTTGTATTTCAGCAAGGCGAGGGACAGCTGGGCAAATGTTCTGCAAGGGTGTTTTTCAAGAATCATAAACCCAGGCCAGCTGTTAATGTCACCTGCGCGCGGTTCGCGGAGAAAGTGAAGAGACAAGCAAGGGATTATCTGCTTTACAAGCAAATGAAGCAAGTGAAGACTCCGCTGGACATCAGCAGCATACCTGGTAAGGGTCAGTTGCTGGGCTGTGTGTGTGTGTGTGTGTGTGTGTGTGTGTGTGTGTGTGTGTGTAATACATATATACATACATACATATATACATATATAATCAGTACATCTCCAAAAGAATGATTTTTTACTTTTGCATGTCCTGAGAGATGCTAAATTTCAGCCATGGATTGGGATGTGTCCCACAATTTAAACAAGGAGCACAGGTGTCATTTTCTGTTCACCTCTACAGTGTACTAATGTCACCCAAAGCTGAGTCCCTTTAGCTGACAATTTGCATCCCAGAAGAACTGACTCTACAAATAAAAGACAGAAGTTTTGGGGGGAAAAAGTGTAGATTAGAGTGCAGATTTGAGGGGAGTCTGGAACCTGAGGAGACACTTACTTGTACGGTTTTTTGTTGTTAGCCTTAGGAGGTTTAGTTGACGGGACACTCGGCCTGTGCTCAGCCCCTCAGCCCCGGGGCTGGCCGAGTGGCTGTCTGGGCTGTTCTGGACTGCTGCAGTGTGGCCACGTTTATCTCATTTCAGGTCAGTGGCTAATGGGCACTGGAGCCGTCTCCACGAGATGTGCCCTGCCCTCTGCAGTGACTCAGCTGGAGCGGAGCACAGCTCATTTATCTTGGCACTCAACAGAGTGTGTGGGCAGCGGCTGATATTCAGCACTTACTGGCAAATCCAATTTCCCAAACCGCAAAAGTCATCTCTGGACTTGCACTTGGGTACAAGCTTGACACCTGACCTCTACAGCACTCTCCATCCCACACTCCCTGCTTGCCCAGGCACCTCATTTCCTCATCCACACCTGAGGACCTCAGGCTCCATTCCCGACTGCAGCTGTCCCACTTACTAATTACCAGCAACAATACAGCTGCTGGCATTTCTAATACCCGGGATTCGAAGGAGTCTCACCTAACTGTTCATTGACAACAAAGATCAAAGCTTAAAGCTTGAGCCAAAGAGCTGTGAGAATTCAGAACATATTGTTGAAGATACCCATGCTGCTTGCCTATATTTAGAGATCTATAGTTAAATGGGCATCTTGTCCCCTTATAGTTTGGGAAATAGTTGGCTCTTTTTAAAAAATGTTAGTTATGTGTATATGGGCATGTGTGTATGTGTGGGAATGTGGGTACATGTGCCCCTGGAAGCCAGAAGAGGGCACCAGAGCCCCAGAGCCCGTTACAGGTGTATGTAGGCTGTTTGGCGTGGGTCTTCTGAGAAAGCAGAGCAGGCTTCAACTGTTGACACTGTAGAGGACTTTTTCCAGAAATATCTGCCGCATTATCATTAGCTTTGGGACCCTTTTCAGTAGAACCACTCATCTGGATCTTGTTCACTTACTAAGTCCTGGGTAGGGACCATTCCACAGTCTACCTAGATTTGGCTACTATAAAATGTAAAAAAATAAAAATAAAAAAATCTTGGGGCTGGAAAGATGGTTCAGTGGTGAAGAGCATTGGCGTCACAATCACGAGGAAATGAGTTTGGATCCCATCAGCCAAGTAGGAAGCTAAGTATCCAACAAACACCTGTTAACTACAGCTCCAAAGGATACAAAGAGCTTCCATGCATGCATATGTACAAGGACACACACGTGCATATGAAGTACAGACATATACACCTGTGCATGCGTACGCACACACACGCACACACGTACTTACATAACTCCGTCATAATGGAAGCCACTTTTCATTAACAAAATGTGAGTCTGCTGACTGAAAACTCCGCAGCTTCGGAGTGTTGATTGTTCGTGCCTGCACAACTATCTACTTAGGGCCAAGAGGATTGATAGAGGAGACAGAGAAACCAAAGCTTAGTCTCTATTTTGGGCTGAAGAGACCGATTGTGCTGAAAGTTCACTGGTCTCTAAGGGGGTCTGTATATTAGTGAACTCACAGTTTCTCATATCTCCTTCCAGGGGATAGTCCTGTGTCACTCGCTGAGTACACGATAAAACTAATTGAGGCAGTTGCTCTAAACGCTTAGAAAGTACAAATTATCAGTAAGAGGTACAAAATGTAATTATTTTGTTTAAAAGACATGAACTTTCATTATAAAAATAATGTAGTTATTCAACAAACCACACACTATATTCCTACTTTAACCTTCTAATTAAAATGCATTTTATTATTTGTTGAAAAAATATAGGTTTTTTTTCAATATTATTACCCTTTTAATCTACTTATCCAGTTTCAAATAGGCAATGATTTTTGATATATTGAGTAGCTAAAATTAAGTGACAGTGTATGTCTATAATCAATTGAATTTATCATAGTTTCTAAAAACAAAACCAGACAAAAGTGTTGACTTTAGATTTAGATTGAGTCCAAATGTGGAGACAGGCCTGGAGTAGCCAGATCAAGTTTTAGCAGGTTTTTAAAATTTTTTTTGTTTTTCAAGACAGGGTTTCTGTCCTGGACTCGCCCTGTAGACCAGGCTGGGCTCCAACTCACAGAGATCCACCTGCCTCTACCTCCTGAGTGCTGGGATTACAGGTGTGCGCCACCATGCCTGGCTGTTTCAGCAGTTTCCAGTCAGTATATAGTTGATTTGAGGCGCTAGACTTTGGTAGTTCAATTCATAAGCATGACAATCAAATCTCTACTCCACAGTGTTTTCCCTCGTGCTTTTATTATGGATAATAATCTCACTCCAGTTAACTCACACACTTCCCACAGAGGAACACAATCTCTGTCAGAGGAAAAGACCGGGGGAGCTACAAATTATCAGTAATGCCCTGTCTAGCAGAGAGCACTCACTCTGTTACATGTCCTCAAAGCTTTTAGAGTCACGAATTTGTCTTTGACGGTAATGCATTGGCTGTCATAGATCTAAAGCCACCGTGAGATAAAGCAAGTGTTGGTGAGCTGCATGAAGAAGGTTTCAGTCACTGGGAAAGGAGGAGAAAAGGCTGCCAGAACCCTGTCACGGTGAACGGAGGCAGGGATGGGCCTGGGGGCGGGGATGGGCCTGGCACTGCCTCCAACAGTGAACCGAGGCAGGGACGTTCTGTTGACACACCCTGGAACCATAACGGTCCAGCTAGCTACTCACATGAAGGAGACACTACAAATGCATTCCTAGAACGGTAATAACTCTGCCGGAAGGCAGACGTCCGAGGCATCTCCCCAGAAACAGCTCCCTGTTGACTAGCATGTCCTAGCAGAACGGCAACTGCTTCCAGACGTTACCTTGAAAAGTCGACGGTCTATCGCAGTGCTCAGTGCTGAGTGGGAGGCGGCTGGATACTAACAGAGAGCATGATGGGAGCAAGCCCTCGGAGGAATCACCGAGCAGCGGACGGACGATGGCAGAGCAGGAGACCAAGGCCTTTCATCTTCACTCTCGAGTTGTCTTCTGAAAGCACCTCCGGGTGCCAGCCCCCGAGAGCACTCATTACTGCCGTCTTCTTGCTCCGTGTGAAAGGAGCCTTTCTACAGCAGAGCACGCCTGCCTCTTGTACTGACGGCGGGACAGTTCACCTTCTGCTCTGCTGAGCATGGGCCCTTTGCTTTGGCAAATTCTAGGTTTTACTTAACTGCTAAACCATCCTCTCTTCATCCCAGGAACTAACTTTCTTTTTTTGTTTTTTCAAGACAGAGTTTCTCTGTGTAGCTGTGGCTGTTCTGGAACTCACTCTGTAGACCAGGCTGGCCTTGAACTCAGAGATCCATGTACCTCTCTGCCTCCTGAGTGCTGGGATCAAAGGTGTGCGTCACCTCTGCCTGCCTAATATCCTTTTCTTTATATCCTCGATTCTTATTTCTCTAGCTTCTCCCATGATTTTGCCCATCAACATCCTTCCCATCCATTTCTGATCTTGTCCCAGAGATGGTGTTCTGCTTCACAGAGTGCTTCCCAGAACCACTGGCCCTTTCCTTCCTCACTGTGTTCGCTCTTCCTAAGAAGTCTCTTCACATTGCCCGGCCTCGACCACTCCTAACCATCTTCTACACTCTCTAACAGAAACCGTGACAGCATGCACTTCTGTAGTCCCTTTGGCCTTGTTCTTCATACATCTAATACCAGCCTCAACAAGCTCCTCCCCCAGCAAGCTTTGTATATTCTGCCCTTCAATTGTGTTACTGTTCTAGGGTTCCAGAAAAGTCGGTCGTTGTCACCCCCATCTCCTAGTGTTTAATAATTTGCCATTTCCTAGGAAGCGGCCTCCAGAAAACATCTGGGAGCCATTCTGCTGTCCTCAAACTCTTGAAGTTCGTCTGCCAACCACTCTAGCGGCATGTCCGCTACGCGACACTCCTCTCAGGTCTTAGATTTCAGTCCTCCCGTCTGCCTGTACAGGCTTCAGACTGGCAGAGTCCACGTCCACCTGGTTTTTCACATGAGGCCATTCATTCCTCCAAGACCAGCCACTGAGCCTGAGCCTGGCAGCGCATTCCTTCGCTCACTCATCCCTCGCCGCACCCCCCCCCCCCCCCCCCCCGCCCCCCCCCCCCCCCCGACCCCGCCACTTACAAGACTGGGCTTCAAGGCCCTGAAAAACATCTTGCTCCTTTGACACCTTCCCCTAAACTCTCCAGGCCAAAGAGACTCGGCCCCTTCCTGTCCTTTAGCGGTCTCTGAGAGTGCATCAGCTGTGCGTCTCTGCCCTCACAAGCCCCAAAGCCACTAGGGAGTCATCTCTGAATGGTGACTCGCCAGACTAGTCAACTGTTCACCAACCAATAGGATTTACGCGAATATTTACTTCACCTAGAGAATGTTTCCTAATGCACTGGCTTTGTTGGGCGCCACGCTGCTGCCAGGCTGTGACAGAGGCTGTCCCCACCAGCCGCGCACGGTGGCTATCAGTGGCATTGTCCTAGAAATTAATCACCCAAGTTTGACTTTCTAAAAGTGATTAATCATTGTATCCCTACCTCTTGAAGTCTGGTATTGAGTGGGTTTTAAGTGTTTGCTGAATTAAAAACAATAACAACAAAATGGTTCAAAAAACAAATGGCACAGGAAAAACTTCTGATTTTTTTTCATATGTTTAAAAAGTCACTGGGAAGCTGCCGATTCATTGGTTAGCTTTAAAGCCACTGGTTAAAGGATACCATGGCACGGGCTTTTAACCAAGCTAGCAGAGAAGAAGATGGCGGTGGACTTTTTAACCAAATTAATATTTTCTCAACTAACAAATGTCAAGATTAACGTTTAGCATTGTTGAAGCTGTTGCTCTGTATGTACATGGTGCTGCAAATTGTCATCATGTCAGTTTGGGCTTACGTGACACAGCAAATTGAAGCACAGAAGCTCCATCTTGACAAGTCCAGATGGAGCTAGTGCTGAGATGACCTGATACTACATCCCTGATTTCATCACTGAAATTTCTCACATTTTGTCTTAAGAAGGCCTTAGTACTAATGTGCTTTTCTCTCCTCTCAGATAGTCATGGGCATATTGATCCCTCACTGAGACCCCTCTGGGACTTGGCTTTTCTCGGCAGCTCTTACGTGATGTGGGAGAAGACATCCCAGTTTTTGCACTACTACTTGATCCAGCTCAGTAGCGTGAAGCAGTTGGTAAGACCCTGAAAATGAGCGGGGCCAGCAGAGCCGCAAGGATGCGGTGCTCCCGATTGAACCAATGAGAATGTTTATCTTCATGGCAAGAGTCTTGATTAGATTTCATTCATTTCGCAAACATCTGAGTGACTGCAGTGGCACAGGGATTGTTTGAGGGACTGAGGAGGCAGCAGTGAGCAAAACCACATATGTTGACTTCAATGAGACCAATCCTAGAAAAAAGCCAGTAAAGAAGAGTTAATAAACCAACAAACATGTGTCAAAAGGTGGTGAGAAGTGCTCTGGATGAAAAGAGAGTGGGGAGAAGGAAATACAGGATCTTGACAGACAACTCGCATAGTCAAAGTAAGGCTAATGGAAACAGCGGTGACACTACAGCGGAAGCGGAAAGGCTGTGAGAGAGAGAGAGAGAAGGGAATTTGAGACAGGAAACCACGGCAGCACGGTGCTGAGGTCTTGAAGGAGCACCAGGGCTTGTGTGTCTGCACAGAGTGAGCAGAGCTTGTGCAGGAAATGAGATGAAACAGCAGGAACTGGAGGGTATCTGTCCTCGTAAGTCTGGGAGGTCATTGGTCCAGGGTTGTCTTTTTCCTGTCAGCAGAAGTGTGGCATGGTGTGATTTCCACAGGATCTTTCTGGCTCCGTTCTGACAACAGACTCCTGTGAAACAAAGGAGGCTGCAGGAAGGCTCGGAGGTGGCAGAGACTCAGGGGCAGCAATGGAGGGGTGGAATGCTTGGGGTCAGGAGGATGGGCAATGTTGCTCCTGTGAACATGAGGCGTGCACATTAGAGAACGGTAAGAGTTAAAGGATGGGTCTTAGGCCTGAACCTGGGAGGACAGCTTCCATTCATTGATTAGGAAGGACACCAAGAACAGCTGTAGAGGAAACTTCCTCGGTCTGTGGCAAGAAGACAGTCAGCATAAAGGCTTGTGTTTAAGATACAGTGATGCACTATAATTATGCCCATGTAGACGGTGTTTAAAACCACTGCCTGGGCGAGATCTCAAGTGTGGTACACATAGAGTCTGGTACACTTCTAATCGTAGATCTAACAGCGGAGGCCATCTGGAAGGGAAGGAGACAACAGCAGCCAGACACTAGTCCTGGGTGACACTAGCCCGGGTGGGAGCCAGTCCAAGTTCTCTGCTGTCCATTATGTCCTCTCCGTGGAAAGGCAGTCGTGAGCCGAGGGTGAGGACGAGAGGTGGTGTTGGGAACGAGAGGTGGTGTTGGGAACGTGAGGTGGTGAGGTGGGCCCCCCCCCCCCACGCTAATGTAGTGATCTGTGCAAGGCTTGCTGCCCTCAGCAGGGGGAAGAAGGCAAACAGCTGCCTTTAGCCAGGGTTGGGAATTTTCTCAGGTAAATGGGATTCGGGGAGAGCGGGGTGGGGGGGGGGGTTTCCAGCCTAAAAGCTGAACCAATTCTAAGTACCTACTAACAGGAAATATTTTCACGATCTACCCATGGGTGGCTCATCAGTATCTTCTAGGAACTTGACAAACATTTGGTATTTTTAATGCTAATAATTTTGTCTGCTTCCAAAGACCATTGTAAAACAGGGATCAAATGGAACTTAGTTTCTTCTTCTTCACCGATCTTTCTATAGAATTCTTTTTAATGTCAATTATTCCCTACCTGGTTATTGCTAGTTAACAAGTCAGGGTATGGCCCTGCTTCTTTCGTTATGTTTCCCTCATTCCTCTTTTCTAACAGGACAATGGGGCTGATAAAGCCAAGATAGCTCAGAGGCAGGAAGATACCACATCCCCAAAACTTTCTGGGTGCAAATTATTATGTGAATACCCAGGGTTAAACTTACCTGCTAATGCAGTAGAGTAAGGAAATGTAAACTTATAAACTCACAGCCCCAAATGAACAAGGACCAACAGAAGAGGGGCAAAGAAAGGATGGGCTGAAGTACACTCATGAAATAAGACCCCATCATGTAGCCACAACTATTTCTTTAGACTTGAAAAACAAGTGGCAGTCCCAACAGAATTGACTATGGCAAGGACAGGAGAATAGATCAGCTAAGAGAAAGTGGGGAGAAAGGCTTTCGCTGTACCCCTGGCCTTAAATATGAATTGACGCTATTCGGATTCTATTCCACCAGCACCGAATCTTGTAACCACTCCAAAATACCTACCTACCTCATCACCACTCACCACTAGTCAGTTCCAGATTTTATCCCAGCATAAGGTCTCCACTAGCCCAAGCTAAATAACAGAAATGGCCTCACTGGCCATATCTATTCTGCTGAGAAGTCTCTCTTCCATCATGTATATTAATAGCCTAGGCCTACTTGCTCTACTAAAACCACATTGATTCTATTAGGATTTAGTCTCTCTGTTTAGGAGATGGAGAGGACATGGGGGGAAGGTCACAAAAAATGGGGTCAAACAAGACTTCCTCATGGTTTCCAGGAAGATTAAAGTGCTAAGTTACAAAAATAAAAAAGTAATAGTAGTAGTAAGAAAAAATCACCATCAATTTGGAATAAAAGCACTTGGCATTTGTGATAACTTAAATAGAAGCTAAAGAGGTTATTTCTGAATAATACTAAAAATAATGACTTCGCGGCAGGGCCTGACGCGGTGAGGTCAGACTGGGAGGTCTCCGTTCACCTCTGCAGCTCTGTAACCAGCTGTGCCTTGGGTATGGTTTCCAGGGTCCTTCCTCCTGAAGGAAGAACAATGGAAGAGCGTGCTTCAACAGCTTTAGTATGGAACACTGCAGTCACAGTGGATTATAATTCAACTTACACTTACCATGGGCAATACCTTTCTTTTTGTCATTGCTGGCGAATGAACCTATAGGTTCTCACACGTGAGGCAGGTACTCTACCGCTGAATTACAGAGTTTCAGCACTACTCTGTGGTTTGGGCAGAAGTTTGTTAAATGAAGTTGGTGTTCTATCGTTTATGTAAAGTCCAGTCCCTTTTTATTGAAAACCTGAAAACTACCATAATTTCGTTCAAAAATGCTGCTTTCAAAGCCAGGCATGGTAGCATTTGCCTGTAATCTCAGTATTTAGGAGATGGAAACAGGAAGGTTAAGGTTAGGAATTCAAAATCTGCCTCAGCTACAAAGAGTTCCAGGCCAGCATGGGGCTATATAAGACCATATCTCAAAAGTACATGTACACACACACACACACACAGCTATTTTCAAACACAGAACAAGAAACTGCCTTAAAAGAATGTCTGTAAGTCAAGTCAATTTTAACATTTTAAGAATGTGTGGTAAAGCCAGGACTCAAGAAACAGAACAGACAGCAGCGTCCATGACTTGGGAAAGATCAGCATTTCCTTCTGAGGTAAAGAGAGTCACCAAATGAAGGCCACGCAAGGCCAAATACACACCTGCAAAGGAATACCAGACCGATACAGGTATCCCCTTGCATCTGTGGGGACCGAGACTACAATATTTGCTCATAAGCCCCACATAATTTATCTCCAGATTGCCTATGTACAGGGTAATGGCTGTATCAATTGTTACTTCGTCTGTTTAGGGAACAGCAACAAAAACAGGCCCGCACATGTTCGGTTGTGTTTTCTACTCTTGGCCCTTGGTAGGCACTGTAGAAATAATGTGCTTTTCTCTATCAGAGGAGAGTAGAACATATCAGAGGTACATCTGCAGTACCTAGATCACTAAGACTGCCAGAAGAGTTTCCTTATCCTCACAGACTCCAGCCATCAACAAAACTCATAAATACCAAAGAGAAAAAAAGCTTTAAGGACTTTCAGGCAGCCTTCCATGGAACCCAGTGACAGACTTCTAGAACTTGATCCAGAACACAACATGTTATTTTGGTAAAGAGCTAAGGCACCATGCACATAACCTAGCCTCTCAAACCCTGAGCTCACAAAAACCCACAGTGCCTGTCCATTGGACTAACTCTGCTTTCCTTCCTCCAGAAAACCGAAGATGATGGCATTGATTTTGACTTTATTGCTCTACTTCATGAATTCTCAACACAGGTAAGATGCAAAGCTATGTGTTAAACTGTCTTTATTTTAAGTTTTTCAAGTTTATAATGTTTAAACCTTTGTTTCCTAGGAAATCATACCCTGTCGTATTCAGATGGTCTGGTACCCTGGTAAACCACTTAAAGTAAAGTACTATTGTCAAGAACTCCAGAGCCCAGAAGAAGCCTCTGGGATGGAAGAAGCCTCTGGGATGGAAGAAACCTCAGCTATGGCACCAACAGAGCTCAATAATTCCTAAAGAGAGAGAGAAAGAGAAAGATCTGCTTCAATCATATTCCAAACACAGCGACTCCACAGGTCTACTTCATCACTCCTGTATGAGCAAAGGTCCAGGCATTCTGGCAGCTCGGGCAAGCCTGCACTTACAAGTCAGTGTCCAGGAGCGCCAGCCTGCTTTTGACCTGACCTTGCCTTGGTGTTTAACTGCCAGCCTGTGTGTTCCTGTCTGCTCAGGACTTAACCAATCATAATGAATGACCACCAGAAGGTGGATCAGCAGTTGCTTTTGGGAAGAGGGTTCATCTCTGAATTTGTATTTTTTCCTAACTGGATACACCGCAGCTCTTTTACGTTGCTAAATTGTTTCTCCTTATTATGTCAACATTTTTTCAGTGTAAGTGAACTGTAGGGAAATATTAACTGCTAATTTCAGGCAGGTATTCTCTTTTTAACTTGATATCTATTTTCAAATAAATGATCGTATTTCTAAATAATAAAATGTGTTTGTAAGCTTTTGTATGCACAGCAAGATTTAGGCTAACCTGGAATTAAAACAAATCCCTGACTCAAATCTTAAATTGCACACTGCCTCACATGATAAAAACTGCAAAGACACACTTAAAGAACCACTGATATAGCTCAGAATAGACCAAATCCTTATTTTTTATTCATCAGGACAACTTGGATCCAGTGTTGGTGTAAGTAATCTATAAAAGCAAACATAATATAATCAACTTCAGTGAAGCCCCTCAAGGCAGGGAAGAACTGATCCAGGAAACGCTGCCATAGCTTGCCTCTCACAATCATTAAAATTTAATGAACAGTTCTGTCTGTCTTAAAGCCTTGAGCCAGGTTCCTTGGCCAGTAACTGATGAGTCATCAGCCTCACAACAACGCAGAAGCAGCCTCATGATGGATGAGGTCACGTCCCCAGAAGCCCACTTTAAGTTGAAAATATCAGGAGCTGGAAACCCAGCTAACACACCTGACCTAAACAGCCCAGCTTAGCAACACCATGGGCTGTGTACCCCAGTGCTCATGTGGCTGGCAGCTGTGTCCTCGGCCATTGTCCCAAATTTCCAGAGTTCCATATGGTATATTCCTAGCTGAGCTCAAAATTGTCCATATGGTTTTCCAGAATGAACATCATTTTCACATCATTGTCAATACTAAAAATGGACTGTATCACCCTAGTCTGCTATGTAATAAACTATTCAATAATGGGAAAGTTTACACTACAGAGAAAGGTTTTAGACAGGGACACAACAACACAACCAGAAGCAGATCTAATTGTATATTTTTTTCTATTTACCTTCCCAATATCCATTCCTTTCAACAAGTTCTAAATCCACTGCATAACCGTTAAAGGGAAACACGCTTTTCACTCGTGCAATAGTGAAGACAAGTACTTTTTCAGAACACCCAAGAAGCAATATATAATGCCTGCATTAAGCCAAAGTCCAGTCAACAGATAAGTGTTCTAACGGAAGTTCCCTAAATGACCTTTCAGAACAGATCTATGAGCACTGTGTCCATTAGAGCACACTGCCGTCCCATGGAGTCTAACATTCTTTTAACACCCTCCTGTACAATGCTTCAGCTTTCTCCAAGATATTACTTTCAAAAAGCATCTCCCATTAGGCTTACAACTGATCATAATTCAGCCACATAAGCAAACAACATAACCCTTAGACAGACTAATTTTGGTGAAGAGCGTAAGGAGGAACCATATGCAAAACCCACAAAGTCAAAACAACTAAAACTTTCCCAGTATCCTCATCAGGACACGCTTCTAACCCAAGGTTGTGAGCTTGATTTAATAAACGTTGATTTCACTGGTTAGCAGCAAGCAAGGACTTCATTTGCCTTGGCATAAAATGAAAAACTAAACTCCCCAAGCCCTCTTTCCATTAGAAGTCATCCAGCCAATGACAGTGGCATTGGGCACCGCATTCACCTAACTCCTCCAGAACTTTCAGAATTTCAAGATATATCAAAAGTAGTGCCACTATTTTTTCTAAAATTCCATTTTATTCTACTCAGTTTCAATTTTTCCTACTTAAAAGTTTTTCTTTAAATAGTACCGTGGTGGTTTGAATGAGAATGGCCCCCACAGGCTCATAGATTTGAATGGTTGGCCACCAGGGAGTGGCACTATTTGAAAGGACTAGGAGGTGTGGACTTTTTGGAGGTAGTTTGCCACTGGGGGCACACTTTGAGGTGTCAAGGGCCCAAACCAGGCCCAGTGTCACTCTCTTCCTGCAGATCCAGATGAAGAACTCCCAGCTCCTCTCCACCACGTCTGCCTGTGTGCCTCCATGCTCCCCACCATGGTAACGAACCATACCTTTGAAACTGGAAGCTAACCACTAATTAAATGCTTTCTTTTATAAGTGTCTCCGTGGTCATGGTGTCTCTTCATAGCAACAGAATACTGACTAAAATGGTTCATTTGGAGGTCAGTTGAAATGTCTATATTTGGACTTGAATGTTAGTCCCTTAAGACATCATACTTTATTACACTGATTTTTCTCAGTTCAGAAAGTTCTGCTCAGTTCTGTGACCTCCCCTAGCTATGAAAACACAAGGAAGGTTCTGCTGCCGTGCTCTCTGACCCATGTATGAGTGAAGGAGCACATTTGCGGGGAGTACAAGCCGCTTGCTTCGGTGAAGCACTTGAAGTTAGCTGAAGACTTAAATTCTTATTCAACAACGTACAGTTTCAGCAATGCAAAGAGCTATCTTCTGCAATGGGACAGTCCCAACACGCCACAATTTACTCCTTTCTGGTGACTGCCACATTTAAGATTCCATGTTAAAATGTTAAAATTCAAAAATTCCTATTTTTTCAAAACAATCAGTTTAAATTTTGTTGATTCACAAGCTATACAATTAAGCAGGAAGAAAAAGAATTAGAGAAAACTCAACTGTATTTCTTTAATGCCAGTTATCAGCTGAAGGGACAATAGCCCAACTATAATATCATACAAAAGAATATTGATATTAAACATTAGAGTTGCAAAAAGAACTTTTAATTCCACGTTTTGGGCCTATGTGCAGGTGACACTGCAGTGGTCTATAACATCAAATGCAAAGTAGAATCAACTGGAATGTCCCAGGGAGCCTGGCTATCGAGAGATGGAACTGGGTCCTCACTTAAAACTCTGGGGATTCTTTAAGTGAGACAGGAGAGGGCAGGCAGGCACCAGTCTTCCCAACACAAGCTAACACTTCCTTTAAGTACAACTATTCTTCATAATAATCGTATAAAACTCCTCAGTTACTAATGTCCACATTGATCTTTTCCATGCTGCAGACTTTTGTTTGGTTTTTCCAGTACATCCATCACTAATCTAATGACCTAGCAACAGATATGGGTCTGCTCCTGGAACTGGCCTGGAACTCACCAAAGAGACCAAGCTGGCCTTGACTCACAAAGGTCTACCTGCCTCTCTGCCTTCTGACAGTTAAATATTCTAACTAGAATATTTAACAAATTAAAAAACACTCAATTTTAACCATTTTTCTGATTGTTCTCAGTATCCAGAGACTGCATTAAATTCTATGGCAGTACTTCCTTCCTGAGAATGTACTCACAGGACCCGAAGCAAACCATTCCCAGACCACGCACACTCACCAGGACGTGGAGCTCACGAGGAACTGGAACCACAGTATCTATATGAAAACGTAATGACTACACGGTCTTAAAGACTCTAGCTCATTGCAAAGACATGGTATTTACTTTCACAGGGTTAAATTAGATAATACATCTAACTTAAAAGCAGGCACTCAACTTAAATCTTCTTATCCTAAAATCCTAAAGTCTACAAATAAAGAAAATCTAAATAGCTACACGAGGTGTCACAGGCCTCTAACACCAGCACGTCAGAGGTGGCAGAAGGAAGCCCCGGAGTTCAAGGCTAGACTTGGACACATAAGAGCCTGTGGAAAACCCCTCAGGAAACAACAAGTCATCTTATGTCTGTTATCTACTTTTCTCCAGGAGTATAAGAGACTAGAGTATGTATGTTGCATACATACATCGGGGGTTTTGGGGTAGAAAAAAATTTCTATGACAGAACAGCCTGAGAAAAGTCAACTTATTCTGGAGACAAAAAGCTTAACTTTTGTTCTTTCTTAATCTCAACGAATACAACACAGGGAACACTCAAACACCATATACCACAAGAATGAACCAACAAAGCAGCAACTCTAGAAATTCTATTTTATCAGAATCCATGAATAGAAAAAAGGAGAACAATAGACAAGACTGCAAATAATATTGTATCCCTAACACAGAGGCGGCTGTAAGTTTGTAGAAGCCATAAATTGAAGCCATTTGCCATCTTCAGTATTTTAACAACCCAATGAAGAATCTGAAAATGCTCTCTATTAAGATCATAACGACTCACTTTAAAAGAGAGAGCTTCATTAAATGACCCTCAAGAATGTCATGATGTGCAACCTTTACTTTCATAGCCTCAGCAGAGGAACTTCTAAAATAGCAATGCATGCCCCAGAGACAATGGAGAACTTATTTGAAAAGCAAAGCATTGAAAACTGTTGACTCCTGAATATAGATAAAAGAAGCTATGTGGCTTTTCTGTATATTACATCACATGACAAAAAAATTAGGGAGCTGAAGGGTTGGCTCGCTCAGTAAAATGCTAAACGAGGAAGCATGAGGACCCGAGTTCAATCCCCCAAAACCCATGTGAGAGCAGCTGGGCGTGGCACATGCCTGTGATACTCGTGTTGCGGAAGCAGAGGCAGGAAGGCCCCTGGGCTTTCTGGTCAGCAAGCTTAGAGAGAGCTGCACCTAAAAACGTAAGGTGGAGGACACTGAGAAAGACAACCTCTGGCATGTACATTCACACACAAAACCACGGACTATATACACATTCACAGTGTTCATATCCACAGTCCTAGCACTTGGCAAGAGGACTGTGCATTTTGAGGCCAACCACAGACCTTGTGTCAAAAATATTGCAAAGTAAATTAATATATATGTTCTAAGCTGAAGTTACTCTCTCCTTCCCTTAAATAATATTAAACATACTTCAGCAATCTATTTTATTTAAGGTCTTTCACTAGACAATAAAAATAGTCCATACAGTTTAAATATACATAATTATCTTTGCATGTGCATAGAAACTCCTGAACAGGAGACAGCAAGGGCTCCTAACATTTGCTTCAGCCCACTGAATTCATCCTGCTGGATCCATCATCTCTAAATTCTGCGATCAAACAGTCTGTACATTCAGAGGAAGGTGGGTCAGCTCTTGGCTTTTCCTTTTTTCACAGGAAGTTGGCCTGTAGCCTCCAAGTACTTATTGATGAGGTCTTCCTGTGTGGACGGTAAACACGGCTGATATCTGCAGTACTCCATTGTGTACTCTCCTTTTCCCTACAAGTTCAAGACAGAGAGATTCATTTGCGTATGCAGAGTGAAGTTGCAGTGAGTCTTCTGAAGGGCACTGATGTGAAGTTTGACCCTGTCTTAAAGCTGCTTACCTCTGTGCAGGACCTAAGCTCAGTGGAGTAACCAAACATATCATTTAGGGGAACCTAAAATCAAACAGAAGAAAATTTTAGCACTACTTGTTAAAAAATTTTAAGGAAAACAGGGATGTATTAGTCAGCTTAATGCCTTACAATTAGCTTTCTATGACAACTCTTAAGTTAAAAAAAAAAAAAAAAAACCAAAAGCCAGAGCCTTATTTTAGACAGAAAACCCTATTTGAAAGTTATTTGACAGGCATAGTCAGAGCAAATCTTTCTGTTTCAGACTGTATACTACTGGGGCGTTGGCTTCTCACCCCGCGCTGCTGTCTACCTCCAGATCACACATTCACAAGTGTGTTTTCTATAGAAACATTAATCAGTTTCACTGCCTAATCTGTGTGTGTGTGTGTGTGTATGTGTGTGTGTGTGTGTATGTGTGTGTGTGTGTGTGTGTGAAAGAGAAACAGAGAGAGAGAGAGAGAGAGAGAGAGAGAGAGAGAGATTGGGCCTTTAACCCAGAGCCTCATACATGCCGGAGTGCATCTTCCCACTAAGCTGCACCCAGCCCTCCTTTGGGGACTGACATACCCTGACGGCAGCATCTTTACAGAGGTGATCTATGACGCGACCAACACTTTCTCTTACATGAGAGTTAAATTAAGACATGCACAGGTCGGAGCCTTAAATACGAGCCTTCTAACACAAGAAAGCAGCTATATAAATAAGGTGAAAACAGGAAAAAAGAAGTATACACCTAAGAAACAACAAATTCACCAAAAAATTATAGATACTTAGAATATATATACACTCATATATAGAGATGCTAAATAAACATATGATATATATATATATATATATATATATATATATATCCAAGATTCCTATTTTTGGCTTTTGCACTTAAGAGTTGCTCTCACAGAAAATCACACAAATTGCCAAAACCAAAACTAATTGATTACCTTCTGTGGCTAACGAAAGTAAGACATATCTGCACCCCCAGAGGGGTTACCTCATGAGGCTGAGGCACCAGGATTACTGTGAGCTCCAGGCTGGCCTGAACTACAGTGCGAACTGTGGGGCAATCAATGACCGCACTTACATCCGCAGACAGTGCGAACTGTGGGATGCTCACTGAGCACACTTACCTCTGCGTACAGTGTGAAATAGTCCTCTACTCCATCTTGGCCTGTGATTACTCCATGGCGCCGGTTAATTCCTGCGATTACTGTCCCCTGAAATTCATTTGGAGCTATAACTTCCACAGACATAATAGGTTCAAGAATACATATTGTGGCATTTGCCAAGGCTAGGTTTAAAAATAAAAAACAACAAGAGGAAAAGTTAAGTATATTAGTTATTAAAGTGACATTCTCTCCAGCTCTACACATGAGACAGATGGTACTTTCCCAAAGGCAATAAACTTAAATTTTCCCCTGGACTCATTTTTTAAAAAGTAATGGGAACAGTTATGCATGGGGAAATTCCAAAAGAAAAACATTTCATTCCGATTTTTCAATTAGCACTCTTAAAAGAAAAAAACCCTTAAATCTCTTTAACCTGCAGAGTACAGAAAACATTAATCAAGGCTCACACTATGTAAGCTGGCCGGCTGTGCCACCTGTTCGCTCTGGAACTCTGGTCTCCCTGATGAGACCAGCGTAAACCTTTCTTACTGGTCTTTGGCACGCGCGCGCACACAGGCGCACTCACAGTGCAGGAGAGGGTGCATAGAAGAATGAATCGCATCTTTCAGAGTCTTTCCTTTTCTTGGCTGAACAACTCCCCTGCCTGACTCGGGCTTTTAGTTTCTGTCCTGTAACAAGTCATTTGCCTCTTGTGAAAACAGCCTGTCCAAGTCTTAAGTTTCTTTACCAATAGCTTAAAAATATCAAACTAAATGTTAACAACCACTTTAACACATTGGGTATTTTTTTGGTCCTGTCTAATACACAACTACTACACTTTTTAGTTACAAATACTGACTAATATTTACGAAGAAAGTAAAGCAAAACTTCAAAATTTACACTTCAAATATTTACAAAGCTTTAGCAGCAGGGCTGGAGCACAGTCTTTAACCTCAGACTGGCTGCACTGTCCCCAAATGAAAAGTTTTAGCCAAAACACAGGAAAGGCAGCTAAGACGCTATTTTGTTTTAAAACAACCATAGTCTTTCCAGAGACATCAATTTGTTTGTAAGAAATGAATTAGCAGCCATTCTTGTACATTCATACAAGCACTTCTAAAGAGACCACAGTCTCAAGGGCAGTAACTGCTCGAGTGACAGTGTGACACATGTCACTCAGTACCAGTGGGGGTTTGGACCAGGACCTCAGCTGGGTACCAAACTCCAGAACTGCTGAACTTTCTGCCATTTATACAATGCCCCAGGGTTTGAATATAACACTCGTAAGATGAAGAATTAGGTTCTAATAGGTAATTCATGGGAAGTCTATGTAATAGAAACACTGGTGATTCTCTGCTTCAATCCACTCCTGAAAACACTAGTACCAGCAGGCCAGGGGCTGCAGTGGCTAAATGAGCAGGTAGTCAAGGGCTAAAACTAGTCTAGGTTTAACTTTACACTCCACCAAACTAGTATGTCAGCATGGGTTTTGAAACTAATTACCCTGAACCTCAATTCTCTCAGCATTAAGGTCACTGTGAAGATAAGCTCACTCATGTATTCAACACAACACAACATACACAAGGGATCAATAAATGTTATGAGCGGCAACTGGGGCAAACATATTGGGAAATAAGTGTCTTGGCACAATGCTAGGTCAAAGGCAGTGTAACAGGAAGAACTGTATTCAGTGTGCCTAAATGTATGTACACACACACATATACACACGGTACATTTCCTAGTAATATTCCCAGGCAACTTGGCAAAGTTCAAGTGATGGGCCTATTTCTACATAGTAAGGAGAAGAGACAGCCTGGCATGGAATGGCAAGAGAGCCTAGAGAAGAGACCACTGGGCTAAAGACGCAAGGACACAGTGCTGGCTGTTTAGAATGGCTGTAAGCACAGTGTTTGGGGGATGAGTATGGGGTTCTCTAAGAACTAGTTACGGAATACCCACACCCACAGAGCCAGACCAGACCAAGCACATCTGGTTTCACGCTTCAGTTTTAAGTTTCATCATTTGTTGATCTCTATGCAAGTTCAAATTGCCTGTTTGTTTGTTTTTGTTTTCTGAAAATCTAAAGTATCTCCTAATCTTGATAGTATATCAAAAATGTTAATATATTTTACTATATATAATAATAAACCCATTAACCTAAGTATAAGCTACTCTAATCCTCACCCGAAACCCTCAGGTGGTTCAGGGATATATATACGCATCAATTAGTTAATGCATGGCAAGAGTTTCCTGTGCTTGATTTTGTTCAATAAAATTATTTAGTATTTTGTTTGATGTTGTTTTGTTTTGTTTTTTTGAGACAGGGTTTCCCTGTGTGGGCCTGGCTGTCCTGACTTGCTCTGTAGACCAGGCTGGCCTTGAACTCCAGAGTTCTGCCTGCCTCTGCCTCCTGAGTGGTGGGATTAAAGGTGTTCACTTTTAACATTTTAAAGCTTCCTCTTTTTTAGAACTTTAAAAATCAATCTTTTACTTTTATTCCAAATCTAATGCCTTTTTTAAAAAAACTGCATTCTGTTTTTGGCAAATATTTGCATTTTTTATGGATAAAATGTGGTTCCATGTATTTTTGCTTTTATACATGAAGAAATAGTCAGATGAAGAACCCAAATCAGCTGTTTTTCATGTTAGCACCTGGCTTGTGTGCACAACTTGGTTTTACAAAATGTTCCTATTTCAGTTATAATCCAGATTTTTTTCCTTTGCACACCGACTAGGCAATTACTCATATTTCACTGACTTTTTCATTGACATATGTGTTTATTATGGGCATACACATCTATCTTTATTTATATTTAAATATAGGAAGAGCTAAAGAGGGTAATGTGGCATGTTAATTGATAAATGGAAAATTTATCTTAGTTTTAGCTAATCTCTCTCTCCATAAAAGTTACAAACTTCTAGTCAAGAACCAGCATAAAACAATTGGTACTTTTTAATTCAATTGTATTTCTAAAAAGTATTAAAGTGATTTAATATTATTTAGCTTAAGATATAATAAGTAAAGAATATTCCAAGGTCAAAAGGTGAGTACTCTAATCTGAGTTATGCTCAATAACATCCACATCATTTTTTTTCTTCAGATTGACCAAATTCCTACATGACAGACTACAGAGCCTGTTTATTTATTTACTTAATGTATGACTGCTCTCTCTCTCTGCATGTACACCTGCACACCAGAAGAGGGCATCAGATCACATCATAGATGGTCATGAGCCACCAAGTGGTTGCTAGGAATTGAGTTCAGGATGTCTAGAAGATCAGCCAGTGCTCTGAACTGCTCAGCCATCTCTCCAGCCCTGCAGAGCTTGTACAATACACAGCTGATATAAAGAAAATTGAGTCAGGCGTGCAGCAGGTCTCTGGGCACAGGGGTCTTTTTTGAGACTGATACTCCAACAAAGGACCATTCATGGAGATAACCTAGAACCCCAGCACAGATGTAGCCCATGGCAGTTCAGTGTCCAAGTGGGTTCTATAGTAATGGGATCAGGGACTGTCTCTGACATGAACTGATTGGCCTCCTCTTTGATCACCTCCCCCTAAGGGGGAAGCAGCCTTACCAAGCCACAGAGGAAGACAATACAGCCACTCCTGATGAGACCTGGTAGACTAAGATCAGAAGGAAGGAGAGGAGGACCTTCACCTATCAGTGGACTTGGGGAGGGGCATGGGTGGAGAAGGGGGAGGAAAGGTGGGCTTGGGAGGGGAAGAGAGAGGGAGCTACGGGGGGGGGGGATACAAAGTAAATAAAGTATAATTAATAAAAATTAAAATTTTAAAAAAATTGAGGATCACTTATTCTTTTTACAACTCGGGTAGACTATAACTACTAAGTTTAAATAAAATAAGGAGCTTACAAGATAGTGCAGAAAGCAGCAGCCCTTCTAGCACCTGCCCAACAGTGACTGGAGATGCAAACTGAGACCAAAAAAAGTTCAACAAGCTTGACATTCACACAGAACCAATAGAATTCTGATTTACAGAATGGTTTGGAAATAATGATTAAGAAATATTAATTCTCTACTGTCTATTTCAACTCGCTTCGATGTAAATGTTTTATGAATCATAATTTTATTATGTAAAGACACTTCTATATATTACTAAGGAATTGGCAAATATCAGATGGGACTGAGGAAGCAAAGACAATGAATTTTATGATTTCAGGGTAACTGCAAAGTTCTCTTGCTGGATAATCCTGATGTCCGTTGCTTTGTTGTCATTAGCTTTCCACGCCCCTGAATTAAAAGCAAAGAACCAGATATGCCTGCCTGCAACTCCTCGGAACTCTAGTTCACAGTTTGAGTAAGTGTATTATCCAGTTTGTGTATGGTGATAATTTTAGCAGTTTAGCAGGAAGTCTGTATTATGCATAAAGTTTACTGAATTCTTTAAAACAGTTTCCCATTCTCACAATAATGCCTAACAGCTTGAAATGTGATATATGAAAAAATTACTTGCAAATTTATGAACTGTTTAACATTTAAATAATTAGTTAAAATAACACGACTAATTTATCTTTAACATACTTAAAGTTCTGAGCACTTGTCTTTTCTATTAAAACCAGAACTTCAGATTATATATGAACTTAAACACCCAGATAATCTAGAACAGGGTGGGCTCTGGTCTTTGCAGGAATACAATGACCTCCCATACTTACGAACACTGCAAGTACTTGCACCTAGCACACTCTGCTCCAAGTTCTGGACGAAAAAGACAGACAGTGCTGCTCTTGAGGCTATGGCAGTCTCCCACACAGACAGATACAGAAGACATTAGGACAACATACCTTGTTTAAGAGCACCTTCTCCAGCTCGGATGAAGGAGATTTCATTAGAATCAACCATGTGGTGTGCTCCATCTTGCAGAATAAACCGTAGTCCAGAAAGCTTATGTCCAGAAAGAGGGCCTTTTTCGCAGGCATCCAAAAACCCCTAACAATGAATGAATACAACACAATGAGATTTCACTTGCAGAGTATTACCCAAAATACCGGAACAGGTTATTGCTCAGAAGTGTAATGTTCTTATGATATATGTTGTCTTTCACTTCTCAAAATACTTCTGAGTAAGTCTGGCATTTAGATGAGCAATTCTGCAGAAAAGGACAGCATATAAAGGTGGGAGCTGGTTAGAGAATGAGGTTAGGGGCTCATCATCACTGCCCTACAACCTCAACTACAGAAATTACTTAATGCTCACACTCCCTTACAGACACAGCAGGACCTTCATTTCACAATGAGGAAATGGAGGAAAGGCCAACTAAGGTCACTAGCCTTACCAAAATCTGTGTGTACGCATCGGCTGTTACAGATCCATTAATACTTTGTCTCACTGGCAGATCACATCATAAAAACCACTGTGTAAATGCACGATGTTGTTAAGAACGAGAATTAAAGGAAATTTCATTTTCTCAAATGCAATTCATTTTTTAGAAGACAGCTTCATTGATGTATAACTCATATACAACAAACTGCAACAATTTAAACAGTTGACAAATTTGTCACTCATTTTCAGTCACTTAAATACTTATAGAACTCCAATTCAGTCACATAGCCACACACACAGATCATATTTCTGACATTTCAAAACTGTACATTATGTATCCTGAAAAATATGTAAATTTTCCCCTTATGTGAATTCTGAATATCATCTCAGGTATTTAGAAGTGTGTGAATGGCAAACTGTTACCTTAAAATAAAGGCATACTAAATGAAATACATTACCAACAACAACAAAAAAATGCTATTACTATTAAAACCAAAATTATAATCTGCTGTTCACAAAATTAACAATTGCTTAGAGTGTACAGCAGCCTTAAGCAAGTAACAGGGAAAGCAAAGCAAGCACTGTGTGTGTGCACAGCTCTTTGCAATTTCACACGTGCAACCTTACCTGGCCTCAGTCTTTCTGAAGGGTATAGGTAAGTGGTTTACTCCCAATTTCCATATTTAAAAAGGAAGCAGGGGCAAATCACTTTGAATTTGAGGCCATTCTGAGCCACATGTAGACTCAAAGAAACAAACCAGCTCCGAACGCTCATTCAACAAGGAGTGGATTCAGCAGCAGCAAAAATGCTGTAGAGCAGTTCCCAGGTGCTGGGACTCTTAGTGCACATAAGAGCACACACAAAACGGTCATCACCCCCAAGGATTACAATAAAATGATGATGGATTACAACCAATGTAGTACTATCAGCCTATGCAAAGAGACTTTACACATGATTAACAGAGCACTGTTTCCAGCTCCTGAGCTGGAGGTTCTAAGATGGAAAGCCCAATAGTCCCATAAAGAAAGATGGTTAACTTAAACCATGGTAGACATGAACAGGACAGAAGACAAAGTGTGATTTAATCCAAATAGCCTGCTTTCACATAGAGACAAATGCCACAGTTCTGTTAAGCACTACCTTTTCAACGGCAGGTACAAACTGCTTTGGAACGTTGGCCCCAAACGTTTCATCAGAAAACTCCAACTTAGTGTAGTCCTCTGGGGCCAGGGGCTCTAGCACACCTATTACTTTTCCATACTGGCCGGCACCGCCTGACTGCTTCTTGTGCGTAAAATCAAACCTGCAGATGATTTAGGAGGAAAAAACAAGCAGAGCATTCGTAATCGGCAAAATGAAAAAAACTCCCACTAATTTATGCAAAGATCCACATTTCATATTTTTTTCTATGATGGCCAGTATGAAATTTTATTATAGAAGTCATTTAGAAGGAATTCTTTTCTGTTCTTCCTCATCAGTGGAAGTGAGGCATGCCACCTAAGTAACCGTGACTTTTCATTCTTCTGATAGAAGGCTCGGTCTAAGGCTTCTAATCATGTGCATACTGAAGAGCTCAACCAGTCTGGACTGACGCCCTTCCATGTCACGCAGTGCAGTGATCAAGGATGGTGACGTGGAAACGAGAACTCTGATGGTTCCTACCTGACTTCAGTATTTGGCATTACAGATTTGTGTGATTAAAGGGAACACTGCATGTAATAATTAACACCTGAAGATGATTAATGATGGCATGACAGTAATGAGCATCAAAAAGGCTCTCAGAAAGAAATGAACTCAGGTTAGTGTTTACTTCAAACCAAGGGATAGAAGAAGTATTTTGCACACATATCAAACATGGAGCCACAAGAAAATGGGCAGCTGTTTCTTAGGAAACATGCAGACACCGCTCCATGGCAGCCGCTTCTTCCTTTAATGGAGTCTTTCAGCGGGCACTTTCAAAGTACTCACAGTATCTGCAGGTGAATGGACATTAATGGGCGAGTCTGTAAGTGGCTTGGGAGAAGTCAATGTAAAAAATGGTAGGAGATGCAAGCTTGGAAGGGCAGATTTCCTAAAGAGCCCAAGGGTAAATGTGTTTGACTCTTGGCAGGTTGCCTTCTAATAATCTTCCAGTGGTCAAGAGCTTCAGGACGGGCGAGGCAACCCCAGAGAGGGACAGCTTAGTTTCCCTGGGAGGGAAACAGCGCCATCAGGAGCAAGGGAACAAAGTGGAAGGTGAAAGAAGCCACAGTCAGGTCAGAGGCACAGGGGACGCTCCAAGCGCTGCACCAAAGCTCTGCCAGCCACTCAGCGCTCCCCAAGATACTGGGCAGTGAGTGTCAGTCTAAGAGAGGTGTAGCATCTCTATAAAATAGCCTCAGCTGAAGAGACGGCTCGGCAGGGAAACCAGCTTGCTGCCAAGTCCAATGACTTGAGTTCAATCCCTGGGACTACACAAGGTAACAGAACCAGGTCCTGCAGTTGTCCTCTAACCTCCACACTCCTGCCACGGCACACTCAAACGCCGGTACCCACACAAAATAAAATAAAGTATAAAGAACTTCAATGAAAAAAATAGTCTATGTCTGTACTTCATAGATTAAGTATATGGTTAAAACCAGTCACAGCTACTTAAACTTAATTGAAAATTCAACAACTTGACACCTCAAGTGCAGGAGACTTGAAACAGTGACCACCGTAGGGGCTGGGACGGACACAGGACCCTCTAGCTGCTGAGGTCTTCAGGCACCAACAGCCTAAGGACTAGCCTCAGATTAAAAGTGTCACTTATGAATGGAAGGAAGCAAAGTGACTGTAAGTATCAGGTTTGTGTTAAATAAACCCAGGAAAGCAACAGCATGTCCAGTCATCATTTTATAGGTGTAAGACCTGGGAGTCAGAGGCTAAATCACTAGACAAAGGTGACTGCGACCAAAGCCAGAATCGGCACCAAAAGCAATGCCCTTAAGCAAACATCTTGCTAGAGAAGTTACAGGGCACACAACCAGGGACGGATGAAACAGTCTGCACTCTGCAGACCGCTTTCTGACTAACCATACAGCCGCTCTTTCCTGGACACTACCCAACGAGTGTTTACGCCAACACACACACACACACACAAAGTCCTCATTTACAGGAAAACAGTGGCACTCCAGGAAAGCAACACTCAGCACACACAGCATTGTCCCTTCTTTTCGGTGCGCCGCTGCAGCATGCACAGGCAGTCTATCCAAAAAGCCTTCGATAATCTACATTTAAGGAAAGAGAGATGGGGCTAGAGCTACGTGCACAGCAGAGGACATGAGTTTGGTTCCCAGCACTCACGCTGTGTGTGTGTGTAGGGGCCCACAACTAGAACTCCAACTCCAGAGAGATCGGATCCATCTGCACACACGTGTGCACATCCACACGCATAATTAAAAACACATAAAAATAAAATTTTAAGAAAGAGAGCCAGGAGTGGTGGTTCACGCCCATGAAGTCTTATATTTCTAAGGTCAGTGGGTGGGGAGGTATGCTGATACATTTTAATTTTTTCCTTTAGTCCCGCCACTTTAGAGCATGATTTTTCTGCTTCTCCGGTCTGGATGAGCCTCCAAAGAAACCCAGGTGAGCAAGCCTGTTCCTGGAGTCTCATAATGGGACCAGGAAAGAAGGGGTGAATCACACTTGGAGCACTTTGCACCTTGCCCCGTGAGGCCCATTAAAGGTAAGTTGTACTCCAACCTGTAGGCAAAACAGCAGAGGTCCCTCAAGAGCAGCCCAAGGCCTCAAGAGGACCCATCGAGGCAAGGCCAGAAAGCTCCTCCCACACCTGCCCGGGAGCCCCGAGAGCCGGCGGGAATGCCTAGGCTTTTCTCCAGGAGCACCCGCCTACCCCGGGGCGGGGCCCAGGCTTCTAGCGGCGGAGCCACAGCCCTAACAGTTTCCTGAGTGAAGGAGGAAGAGGGAAGGAAGGCGCTGAGGATCGCGTGCCCAGCCCAGCTGCCGGCTTCCCCACCACACCGTCTCGGGCCGCTGCACCCCGCACCGCCGGGACCCAGGCTGCCCAGGACCCACTGTGATCCCTTCGAACCAGGGCAGCCGCGCTCACTGCTCCCCTAAGATGGAAATCCCACCCACCCACTATGCGGCCTCCAGGGCCGCCTCAGTGGCGGAGAACTGCATCAACTACCAGCAGGGGACCCCCCACAAGGTGTTCCTGGTGCAGACCGTCCAGCAGGCCAGTAAGGAGGTGAGTCCGCGGGGCGCGGCCCGGGGCTCGCCCCACTCCCCCGACGCCGCAGCCCTGCATATGGACGCTCCAGAACTGCGTTTTCACGTCAGGCGCGGAACCCAGGCACACAGATTTTCGCGCATATTACTGCTAGGAACTGGGAAATGTGTGGGGTGGGCAGCTCACCCTTTCCTGTGGTGAGGAGGGAGGTTGCGAAGAGGCTCGCTAAACAATTAGACACTGTCACTGTTTCTCAATCTGCTCGTAGCCAGCCTTGGCCAACAAAAGCTCACAGCCTCCGAACAACTCCCTAAACTTTTAAGCGCAACTCTGAAGCTCTTTGCCCAAAACGAAGGGAAACGTGTGAGATTAGCGCAGAGTAAGGAGACAAAAGCACTGGCTGCCACATCCTGCCTCAGATGATGCGCTTCCCTGGCTGAAGCCTCTCTAAGACCTCACCTCCTGAGCGCCCCTAATTTTCTTTCTTTCTTTCTTTCTTTCTTTCTTTCTTTCTTTCTTTCTTTCTTTCTTTCTTTCTTTCTTTCTTTCTTTCTTTCTTTTTTTTTTTTTTTTTGGCTGACAAAGAAATAGTTTTTATTTTTGAAACTGTACCAGATGTTTAGGTGCAAATTTCAAACGTATGTTTTCATTTAAAAGTGAAATATCTAACTTGTCTATCTTTTCATAAGATTTGTTGAAATATTGTTTGACAAGTCAAGACAAAATAAAAACAGCATTTATACACATTGTCTCTTGGCACTTGACAGTAATTTGCCACAAATCAGTTTAGTCACTGAAGACGCTGGTACCCTTGGCTTTAACATAAACCTTTCCAAAGCTGTATCATTTCGTCTGTGTCCTCTGTATGCTTCTACACAATCTCAAATAAACTTGCCAGAGATGCCAAATTAGAAGCTAAATACTTGGCAACTGGCCCTTCTCAAAAAGTAAGGCTCGGGGTAGGGATGGTGAGGTGAAAAATGTCACAACAAACCCCACTGTGTGTGCTTAAAGAGATGCAAAGCTTTAATGTGTTTCCTCTCACCATTCTCCCAGCCATGTGACAAGAATGTCTTAGCTAAAAAGAACTGATTTATTACAATATTCGCTTTTCAACTACATTTTTCTTAATTTTAGGATATCCCAGGAAGAGGGCACAAGTACCACCTCAAATTTTCTGTGGAAGAAATTATCCAAAAAGTAAGTGAAATGTCCTTTCTAGTGACTACATCTTGATTCAGAATGGTGTAGATCATTTTTGCTGAAGGGTCTGATCTGGGCTTTCACTGTCATGGCAGTGAAATTTCTGAGAATAACAGTAGCAGCTCTGCAGGCAACACTATAGGAGCCAGTGTGTGCTGCCTTTGTGTACTTTCTATTGAATTCTTTAGAAAATAGTCTGTATTTCAGTTCAAATAAATTACTTTTAAATAAATTCTGAATAGTCCGAATGTACGGCTTATATGAGTGAATGAAGTGATTTACTCTCCAGTCATGACTGCTGCCTCATGCCTGCCTTTTAGTTTGGTTTTTAATTGGGTATTCACATTAAGTACATTTAGAAATTCAGGAACAGTGGAACAGCCAACAGTGATTCCACTAGTCTTTCCATAATGAGGCAGGAAAGTTTGAAAACTTTTAATGCCTCTCAAATTATTAATGAAATAAAAGAAGGAGCCGCAGTTTGCACCACAGCCATCTTGAAACTGTGGGAAGTCCGCCCTGTCGCTGAGAATAACTCAGGAGATAACAAAAGGAAATCGCCTGAAAGACATCTGAGCTGCTAGACAGCCATCTACACAGCATGCTGCAACCCCTTATTTTTGTATTAGGGCAGACTGCTCTGTCTACATTTGGAGAAAACAGTGCTTTAAGATGCAGAGAGAAGGCGTGAGGAGCAAATGTAGGAGGACCATCCCACTTTGGTGTGCAGTCAGACTAAAACTTAAACCAACAGCCCACTTGTAGACTTGTAAGTCCTAAGATTCTTGAAACCTCGTAACTTAATGAATGGCCACATCTGCATGATGATCCTTTCCAAACAGCAAGTGACAGTGAACTGCACGGCTGACGTTCTTTACCCTCAAATGGGACAAGGCACTGCACCAGAGGTCAACTTCACATTTGAAGGGGAAATTGGCAAGAGCCCAGATGAAGAAGATAACACATTTTATCAGAGCCTCATGTCTATGAAGGAACCACTGCAAGCACACAACATTCCAGGTACACCATAAAACACGGGAAGCTGTTTTCAAACCTGAGCTCTGTCTCTATTACCCATGCTCAAAACTGTTTGATGGTAGCTATGTTGGAAATGACTTTTGCAAAAATACTTATCTAATCTAATCCATCAATAAAAAGAGGGTCTGGAATTTATACATTTGTGGCTTAATTTAGTCTTTACATATATCAGAACGCTAGAAAACACGGCTAAGAATAAAAGGCTAAGAATAAAAATGATTTTTAATCTAAAAAGTTTAATAACATTTAGCATATAAATGTTTCTTCTACCAGACAGTTTTGGAAATGTGTCTCCACAAATGAAGCCAGTTCACCACTTAGCCTGGGTCGCTTGCGGTTATATAATGTGGCAGAATTCAACTGAAGACACATGGTATAAAATGGCAAAAATTCAAACTGTCAAGCAAGTGGTACGTAGTCTCTCTCTACAAAGTATGCTATTAAGAGTTGATACTGACATAGTATTGGAGTTCATAATGGATAGTGTTGCCATTTCCATTCTGTATTAAAACTTGTGAGCCCGGCAGTCTAAAGGCACTGTTTGTCAGTCAAGACAGGAGAAGGCCAAGCTAGAGGAAGCCCGGGAAGCAATGGCACTGGTTCCGGAAGTCACTTGGCTTATTAGCAGAGCTCAGACATGGCGTCCGCATAACCTCTGTCTTCTTAACAATCGTGTGGTTAGGCAGCTTTTACAGGAACGAGTGTTAGCAGACTTTCTATGAAACATCTTCTAACACTGAGCAGTTTCTAGACTGCATTTTCAAAAGTTTATGCTTCTTAATCTTTCAGGCCAAGCAATTCAGGTTTAGTTATCTATGATGCTTTATTCAGATCCGTTTCCAGAGAACAGTGGTTATAGCTTTATCAGTATATGCAAGACAAAGACTCGGGTACACTATACACTTTTAATGAATCATCCTGTCTTGAATTGGCTTTACAAAGGTCCTGAGGGCTACTTTTATAGTACTCTCAAGTAAAGCTGCACTTCCAAAATTATGAAGTTGTGAGTTAAAATTTGGCAGATATTTTTTGTTTTGTATTCAGTTTAATACAGAGTATTTTCTTTAGCAACCTAAATAGTGTATTTGAATTGCTATTATGAAGTTCTACTGAACTAGCTGCAGTTTTCTCTATTGAATGGTGGTTCCTTGGCTACCCAGAGACACAGGCCTGGCATTTCCCCCTACAGAGACTTGTAGCACTGTGGTCTTTGGAAGCTTGGGGGAGTTCTAGCTGTTGCTTGGCTCAAGCGTGACTCTTTTCTCTAATCCCATTAGATAGTTTATGACCTCATATTTTGTTAGCAGCCTTACACTTTCTCAAGGCTAATACCATGGTTATGCAGAAATGCATTTTCCTAGGCCAGAAATCATAGGGAATTTTTCTTTAGTTTTTACCTTTTTGAGGCTAACGGGGGAAATTCAATTAGTATTAATAGAAAACAAGAAAAAGTACTGAGAACCACAAAAGACAGTTTCCATAAGCTCCAAGAGAAAAAGGCTTCCTGCTGCCCTCTTTCAGCTTGCAGGCATTTTAAAAGTGCAGGAGAGCAGGAGCACTGTGTCTCCAGGGACCTCTGTAACCACTTACTACGGCCTTCTGAGAAACAGTGAGTCTGCTTTCCAGACGCATTTCACAGAGACCAACCTTGGTTACAGCACTCCCCTGAAGGCCCCGAGCTATCAACCCAGGCCAGGTACAGGCCTCAAGCTAAATCCAGCAACGTACAAGCTGAGTGGTTTTACACTTACACAAACAAAAGCCTGTGACCGTTCACTGCCTTGTAATGGCATTAACGAAAACCTCGGCAGAAGGGCTTATGAACATTACAGTCTTCACTATGGAAACCAACATGTAAGTCACTGACTTTAAGGGAACTCTTTGCTGATAAATTCAAAGGAAAGGTTACTTCGAGCTATTGTAGAGAGTGGTGACTGTGGGCTATGTTTATAAGCACTGTTACCTGGAGTCCGGAGCTTATGCTGTCCACTAGAGTCTCAGCACAGCAAAGTTCTGCTGAGGTTTTTAGCCTAGCTCACTGCATAAATGCTTTTTATTTCTGAAGTAACAATCAGTACAGAACAAAAGCCCTAATTGTAAAAGCAGGTAACTTAGCCATTACATTTTATTATTGTCCATTTTCTAAAGAATGTTATGTAATTGGTTTCCTTTAATGTGAATTCCCATTGCCACTGTTGATACTAAGGGTTCATAAATAAAAACCTACACACAGTAATGCTCTTATATGGCTGCCACAGCTGGAAGAAGAAAAAGCAGGTAAGCATTTTTAGACTAACAAATATAAAATAATGATTTTTTAAAAATGGCTTGAAAGAGTATCTGTTTATTCAATATAAGAAAAGCTTTCTGTAAATTATGAACTTCAGTTTTTTTTATAAATCAACATTAATTCAAAATGGTAAGATGTCATGTTTTGCAATGATATTGTTTAAACATTTTTTTTCTGTCATAGCAAAGAAATGATGACTTCATTGAGTTAGACTATACCATTCTACTCCATGACATTGCATCCCAGGTAACATATATGATTTATCTTTATTTGATGCCACTTTGAAAATTAAGAATTCTTTTGTAGCCACTCAGTCACTTTATTCCTTTCGACTCTAAGTAAAGTTAATGAAAGTTCAAGCAGGCACCAGGATGAAGTGTATCATCCTTATAGCAACTGAACCTGTTTGGTGCTGCTCCTGGTGAAGACAATTTTTAAATAAAATCGCCATTGAAATAGATAATTGTTTTCTAGTCTCATAACGGCATGAACTTTCTTTACCTGCAGGAGATTATTCCTTGGCAAATGCAAGTTCTGTGGCATCCACAATACGGCACAAAAGTAAAGCACAACAGCCGCCTCCCAAAGGACGTGCAAGCAGAATGAACAGAGACCCAAAGGGAGACGCCACATAACTGCGCTCACTAGCGATGTGTGTGACCATCCTCACTGGCACCTAGCCCAATAAGCCAGATGAATCCCACAGAGCCGCTCCGTATGTCTTGACTACAGTACCGAGCCACGTAGATTCCATAATAAAGAATATTACGGCATAAAAATCTTTCCAGCAGTAACAGGACTATGTATATCCCCTAATAAAAAGTCCACTTCAGCCTCGGACTCTAATTGCACAGAATACTTACGGCACAGGGGCAGTAATGGTCTCTCTAAAGGCCACTTTTGGTTTGCCAGTGATACAAGGACAGCCATATTCTCTCTCCATTCTCTAAAATAAATTCAGGGCAAGGGGGGAGATATTTTTTTAATTTGTAAAGCAAAGTGAAAGAAAAAATACTAGCATTCAATGAAATAACTGAAATAGTAGTAAATAACTAAACATTACATTTTAAATCACTTCAATAACTAGCAAGAATCAGATGTGCTATTCTAGTAACACAAACTACCTTTACGTATCTTATATAAATGAATTCTAGTTTTGTCTCATTAATTTATACTTGGTGTCAATTGCTCTATCTGCTAAGACCTACCATACTTTCATATTCATATGCATTCATTGGAATAACATAAAGAATCTGTTTGTCAGGACTTGCTGCCCTGTGAAGACTCAATCATGTATCTTTTGTTTTCATTTGATGTAGAGAGACTTTTTAAAAATCTATATAAAACAGGCCTGCGTGTTTTAAATTTAATTATTTCATTATTTTCTGAGACAGTGCTTCTCTATGTAACTCTATTTGGAACTCACTGTGTACACCAAGCTGGAGGTCAGAAAGACCCTCCAGTGTCTCCCAAGTTCCAGGACTAAAGGCTACCTTGCCCTGTCTTCATTGTTACGTGTACACCCGTGTCTGTGTGTGCATACGTCATGTATGTGTGGATGTCCGGAGAGGGTACTGGATCCACAGGAGGTGAGCTGCTGAATGTGGGTACTAGCAATTCAAGTGTTCTGGAAGAGCAGCAGTGATTTTAACCACTGAGCCATCTCGCCAGTCCTCATGAAGAAAAGTCATGAGAGTAGCTATAAAAATAAAAGTAGGCCATCCCATAAGGCTGCTTTACTTGACCCAGTTATTGACTGGGAATGGATGAAGGTCTTGACTCTAGGAGTCTACAGTGTTTAATAAATGAAGGCTCATGTACAAAGAGTAACTCGTCAATGCACAGGCAGGGACGCAGTGCAGTATGCCATGCTTGCAAACAAAGTAGCGCAGAGGCTGAAGAAGCTCTCGCGGTTCACAGTCACCACTTTTGAGCATTGCTGGCTTTTTCTCTTTTCTTTCAACTCACTAGGTAGCTGAGGATGCCCTGTATTCCTGTGAGTCTTCTTGCCTCACCTCCAGAGGGTGAGCACAGACTAAGTCCCCTTGCCAGGCCCCGCTTCTGCCTTCTAATAGTACGCAGGGTAGCAAACGCAGCCACACACAGCTTGCTTGTGACCCATACCTGAGCATAGATCTCCAGGTGCAACTCCCCCATTCCAGACACGATTGTCTCCTTGCTCTCAGGGTCAAAGCGTACTTTAAATGTGGGGTCCTCCCGTGTAAACCTGCCAATACCTTTTGAAAATTTGTCCAGGTCATTCTTTAAAAGAGAAAAAAAGTCATTACAGGATTGATGACAGATGAAAAATATCTGTATTTTGAGAAGATGTTACTGAATAAAACCATATACATTAGCAATTAAGAAATAAAGAGGATCCATAGCGCCATAGCTAGTTCTACTCATACTTTTTTTGGAAAAAAAAAAAAAAAAAACAACCCTGGCCTAGGCAGCTGAACAGGATCTTCTCTCCATACAAAGACAGAAAACAGGTGCTCAAGATTTAACCTTGTCACGTCCTATCACAATGACCAAACTATCCATCTGTAGAGACTGCCTAAGCGGAAGAACATGACACTCTTAGAAATGCTCTATACTATACAGTCAGCATGTTTTCTGTAAATTCAAGAGCATTAACCACTCTGTTAAGACCAACAGCAAACTATCACATCAAGATGTTTCTGTTTTGGAACAATCTTCTTGGTTATAGTCTACAGAGCTTTGTACTTTGATGAAATCCCACGCAGTAAGTTAGGACACATTCTATGAATTGTCACAGAAGGCTCAATGTGGTCACAAGGGCCTTTAAAGATGAAGAAAGCAGAAGAGGGCGTAAAGTGATGCAACGATGAAAGAAAAGCAGGAGAGGAACAGGAAAAAGCCCCAGCCCATTGTTGCTAGCACTAAAAATGGTGGGAAAGGGGAAGGGAGGACAAGAGAGATGTCTCAGTGGTTAAGAGAGCATCCTGCTCTTCCAGAGGACTAAAGTTCAGTTCCCAGAACCCATGTCAAGTGGGTCAGAACCACCTGTAACTCCTGCTCCAGGGGCTCAGATGCCATTGAGCTCCCTAGGGGCCTGTATGCACATGCACATATCCACACAGAGATACATACACACGTACACATAATTAAAAATAAGTATGTAAAAATCTAAAAATGATAGTGGGGGGAGGGAGGACGGAATACAGAAGCCAAAAATGGTGGGTGGGCAGCACCTGGAAGCTAGGAGTGGCCCCGAGGAGAGGAAACCCCAATCATAAACCCATAGGCGCACAGTTCTCTTTCCAAACATGAGGAACCAATGGAAAAAAAAAAAAAAAGGTTTTCCCTAAGAACCTCCAGAAAATACAACCCGGAGGTGGGAAGATGGCTCAGTTGGTGAAGCATTTGCGTCCTAAGTCTGAGGAGTGGAGTCTGAGTTCCCAGAACCCATGCAGCACTGGATACAGTAGCACATATCTGCAATCCCAGGAATCCTTTAGCCAGAGGAGTGGCAGGGACAGGAGAATCGCTGAAAAGGAGCCGGTGAGCAAGCCTGGCACACAGTGGTGAGCAACAAAGAGACCCTGTCTCTAACTAGCTGGAAGTTGATGCTCAACACATGAGGGTGTTCTCTTACTTTCGTGAACTCACACTAAAAGGGATGGGCAGAGCACGCATGCACACACCAATACATCCCTGTTTTATAAATTTAGGCTGTACTGAATCATATCAGCCTCTGACCTACAGAACTATAAAATAAACCCTTGTGCTGTTTTACGTTACTAAGTTTTTGGTAGTTTCTTATAGTTGCAATAGAAAATGAACATGTCCTATATACACAGTATTAGCAGCAGCACTGATCACATGCTGGGAGCTGTAACGCCTAATGTGCAGGATATCTCGATCCAACCGGAGTATAAACAGGTAGCCAGCGGTTAAGTCACATGCTCAAGGCCACACAAGTCACGTGGAGAGCAGTCAGTCCCGAGGCCAGTGCACTCAGCAGGAACATCATTCCTCCCACTATCCAAGCTCAAGTCCTTACAGTGAGAGACCTTATTACTTGACTGAAATTAACTTACTTGTGAGAAGACATTTTTAAATGTTTGCATGTACAAGCAGGCAAGGATTCCAAAAAGTCCTCCTCTCCCATCCACCCGCCCCATTCACCCAATTTCCTTGACTTATTGCAAGTTACTGCTAAACATTTCTCATCAACTCTGAATGTAGAAATGAAAGGTATAAAGACACTACTCATTTCTAACCTTGCTAGTAAGCCTTAGCAAAGAGCATGAAACAGCTAAGGTAGAATGCGAAGTTTATCCCCAAAAAGATTCTGAGAAGATGGACCATTTTCAGGTCTTTTGCTCCCCTGACTTTCTCTTTTCTATATTAGAAAATAATCTGGAAAAATTCCCAGGTTTCTCAAAACAGTAGCAGTTATTAATAATGTATCTTATGGGATGATGTATCCAAATATGTTCTGCAAATAATAGTTCTCAGATGTCAAGAAGTCTTAAAATGTTCACTCAATATGAGTGAATTACCTCCAATGAGGCAAGTTGGGAACTAAATAATCATGGCTCAAGATTGAACTAATTCCAACAGAGAGCAATATGAATGCAAGCCATTTCAGCAATTTTGGCTTTGTAGAATGCCAAATGATATCAAACCGAATTATACTATTGTAGAAACAGTATACTAGTTTAAAACCTTAAATATGAATTAGAGATGAAGTCTTAAAGAGTATCTTGTTGGCCTGTGATGTTATAATCAGACACTTCGTAACAACTACAAATCTAAAAATGTATTATACTCCACAAAGCTTTTCAATCGACCAACACTGTAAAGTACTGACAGTGAAGTTTTACACCTTTCCACACACACCTTTCTTTCCCCTTTTCAACAATTTAAGGCTCCCAGAAGGTAGACTTACTATTGAAAAGCCAATGTGAAGACAAAGTTATAAAGGCAACCTGCTCCTTCAAGTAGACTGAGGACTTGTTAGAATTGACCACTAAATTAATGATGATCTCAACACCAACAGAGGAAGCAGGAGCCAGCTCAGGGATGTCATGTGCAATATGGAGAACAACCAAAGAGAGCTCAAGTTTAGAGCAATCTGTTGAAGCTTAAATCAAACTCCTACCTTGTTGGAAGGCTTCATTGCTACTGAAATGACAGGATCAGGAACATGAATTGATTCCTAGAAAAAAACATTTTTTGAAAGAACACAAAATAACTCAAAGACAGTAATATCATGACTCAGTGAAAGGTCAATGTAGCACATTACCAACAGGGCAAAGGACAACCACTAGCCTCCATCTCAGGCGGGACCACATGGCTCTTAGTCTGTTCTGTATTAAGTAAGATAGTTTTGTTACTCTAATAAACACAAATGTGTACTTACATGAAATCCTCCCTCCCCAAATAAAACATCTAATTTATTTACCTAACTAATTAACATAGCCACTACAATGAAGTTAAGTAAATGTGGACCTACGGAATCCCTTCCTTTTTGTGGGCATGTATTCTTATTGCCTGTTCGACATTTCCTGTTGCAATCTTCTGAGTAGTAATTATGTCTTTGGCTCTTTGGCCTCCCCACCCCCCAAGGGAGGAGCAGTCCTGTTAGGCCACAGAGGAGAGCTTTGCAGCCAGTCCTGAAGATACCTGATAAAACAGGATCGGATGAATGGGGAGGAGGTCCCCCCTTATCAGTGGACTTGGCAAGGGGCACGGTGGAGATGAGGGAGGGAGGGACTGGGAGGGAATGAGGGATCGGGACACGGCTGGGATACAGAGTTAATAAAATGTAACTGATAAGAAAAAAATAAAATTAAAAAAAAAATGTGTACAGAAAAAAAAAAAATCTTCCAGCTTAAAAATTCTCAAAAAAAAAAAAAAAAAGTAATTATGTCTTATATAGTGAAGGGAACAGAAGGGTCCTGGAGTCCTTATTACACACATCTTATTTGATCAAAGACAGCTATTAAGAGTAGAAACTTGTTCAGTCTCATCAGGACTGCTTACATGGACAGGACCTAGACCCCCTAAAAAAAAAAAAAAAAAAAAAAAAAAGAGTCTCCATGTGGATCTCTGAGTGAGGGGATCAGGGGCTGCCTTTATCATAAACTCAGTTGACTGCTCTCGGATCACTCCCCCTATCAGTGGACGAGGGGAAGGGGATGAGGGGAAGAAGGAAGGAAGGTGGGACTGGGGGAGTTCTCCACTATTGCCATCTGCCCATAGCTTCTTAAGTCTCATCAGGACTGCTTGGATCCTTCTTCCTCCGTGGCCTGGCAAGGCTGCATCATCAGGGGTGAGTGATCAGAGAGCAGTCAACTGAGTTTATGATAAAGGCAGCCCCTGATCCCCTCACTCAGAGATCCACATGGAGACTCAGATGCCAAATCAGCCACATCTGAGCAGGGGGTCTAGGTCCTGTCCATGTAAGCAGTCCTGATGAGACTTAAGAAGCTATGGGCAGATGGCAATAGTGGAGAACTCCCCCTATCAGTGGACGAGGGGAAGGGGATGAGGGGAAGAAGGAAGGAAGGTGGGACTGGGGGAGTTGAAGGAGGGGCCTTCAATTGGGATATATGATGAATAAATTGAGAAGAAAAAAATAAAAATGGGAAAAAAAAAAGAAAGAAAGAAAATCATAAAAATGGAAAGGGAAGCAGAAGACTTGGGAAGACTTGGGAGAGTGGTGTGAATAAGACTAAAATATACTGTGTGAAATTCTCAAAGAATAAAAAATAATTTAGTAGACAAAACAACAACAAACAAAAGAGGTAGAGCCTATCTCACATTGCAATTCAAGTTACTAAAGGCTTGAAAAGAAGGTAGAGTAACAAGGCCAAGGACCAGGCAGTAGTACTGGGCAGAAGTGACACCAGACCTTTTCCCTTCAGTGTCTAAGTGAGCAGTTCCCACAGCAACCAGTCACTTCATAACACAATGGCAAGTACTGCCTTATAGGTGTGAGTGAGTGTTCTGCCTGCATGTACATATGTGCACCTAGTGTGTGCAGGGGCCCAGGAAGGACAGAAGAGGGTACTGAATGTTAGGTAGATGTGAGCCACCATATGGAGGGGGAATCCAACCCAGTTCTTCTGCAAGAATAGCAAAAGCTCTTACCCCTGAGCCATCTCTCCACCCATGGCAAGCACTTACATAAGGCCTCATCTAAAATGTAGTGTCTTTATTAAGATCTCAAAACTAAAGACCTATGGTTTTATAGAGTCCTATAATGACTTATGAAATTCAGAGAATATTTTATTTATAAAGGTTATAAAACTATGGATTCACCAAATGATACAGGGAGCTATTGTAATTCTCAAACAGAGCCGTTCTGACATAAGTAAACCACTGCAAGCAATCCATGTACACTCCCACTCTTTACTGAGCCCAGAAGAGTGTCACCCTCATGAACAGGATAGAAGACCTTGTTCTGCTCTACGAGAAATAAGAGAAGTGAGTGATGGGGATAAAAGGCAGGAGCTGCTTGGACATGCTTTTCTCTCACGGTCTTCAGCGACCTCTGAATTCCCAAGAGCCAGCTGTCTACAGTGTACTGCCTCTGGCCGTGCTGACACCCTGCCTTCTGCAGTGGCATGAATGAGAACGGCCTTCATAAGCTCATGAATTTAAATGTTTGGTTTGCAGTTATTCCAACAGTTTGGAAAGGATTAGAAGGCATGGCTGTGCTGGAAGAGGTATGTCACTGGAAATGGGTTTTGAGGTTTCAACAGCCCTCCCCCCACCCACCCTGTCCTCGCTGCCTGTGGATCTCTGTTCAGCCACTGTTCTGGTACCATATCTGCCGGATTCCCACGCCACAATGATCATGGACCAACCCTCTAAAACTATAAGCAAGTCCCCAGTTAAACACTTTCTTTTACAGGAGTTACCTGGCCAAGGTGTTTCTTCACAGCAATAGAAAAATGATTAAAATACCTTCTCAGCATGGGCATGTTGTCATCCCCAAGTCTATCTTAAATATTATAGTCTGGCCTCCCACTCTTCTCGGCTACTGGAAGAGATCTCTCTAGTTACTGACTTAGAAAGTAGCAGCCTGAGAGCGGCAATAATTAGTGACACTCACAGTGGGCAGCAGACCTCAGGTGGAAGAGCTGGAGCCAGTTTCCAAGTGTTATCTAGTAGAGCCTTCCCTCCACATTAAAACTCTGGGAGACTGTAGAATGGTTTAGGAAGAAAAGCCAGCTAAGTAAGCGCACACAAAGCACTTATGTAGCTGACATTCAAAGAGCCATAACCGACAAAGGGCATGATGGACTTGCCTGTGCATTTAGTGCAAGCCTTTGTGACTGTTTTGCTGCAGTATGAGATACACTAAATAAAATTAGACATTTGACATTCAAGGCATGAACAGCTGTGCAGTTACACGGCTTACCATAGAAAGGCCACTGTTGTCTTTGTTTGTGAATGTGTCTCCACTTGCACAGTCAATTCCAAACAATGCACAGATGTCTCCAGCATAAACCTCCTCGACATCCTAAATAAAGACATAATTCAAAGTATGCTTGCACATAAAAGTCATCAAGGCACAGTATGGAGCAACTGCACTCCAAACACACTGCACATAAGCAATGCACAAATGCTACACGCATTATACAATGAGAAAAATCTAACACCAACAGTCAATCATGCCAATGCACGACTCCAGTGGAGCTTTACGATGCTGCCTATCTGAACTGACAAGGTTTTACATTCTGTGGAAAATTCTGTGGCTTCTTTAACTGTCTGTTTTAAAAGCAGGGGTTCCGCGTACTGCACCTCAGTACAGTGAGACCATGCAAGACAGACACACAAGGGAAACTGCAAAGGAAGTTTAGTAAACAAGGTAGTAGAAGCCATTGTACTAAAAATACTTTTAATTTCTCGCAGATGCAAGCAGCATGAAAACACAGGAAAGCTAGAACAAAGCACCGCTGCCTCCAGGCTTCCGAGTTATTGTCCTGCCTACTCACAGTTCATTCAGAATAGCTGTGCTGTGAGTTCCTTTTTTTTGATGACATATATTTGCTTGAATCTGGCACGAAATGTCTGTGACAATTACTAACTCTCTAGCCTGCTTCTTGCTGCCTATTTTACAAAGCTGTCAAGTTTTGTGACTGTCTCTTCATCTTCAGAGACAAAAGTTATGTCTTCCAAAAACTTCCTCTTTTCCATTTAAGCCAATAGGTTTCTCTGGGAACAGAGCTAGACTAGCGAGGGGAGTGACTTCCTGCACCCGGTATTCTTGCCATGGCCTATCTAGAAGAATGGCAATAGGCTAAGGCATATTCAGAGCCACTTCAAGACATAAGTCAAAGGCCCTGACTACCTTGAGAAGTTCCAGGTCATCAGGTGGAGCCTAGAAGCAACGCAGCCTTGTTAGGTTTGCGTTACGTGTTCCAGGCTGGCCTTGTGATTCTGCCTTTGCTTCCTGGATGCTCATCCCTTCATCACAGCCAGCATCTCTGTGACTCTTGAGGAAATTACTGAATCTTGTGCCAAATCCTGTTCTCTTTTCCTGCACCTTGGCCTCTGAGAAAGCATGGCTCACTTCTAGAGGAGTAAACACGGTCTTAACACCTGCCAACTATCTTAACCTATAGCAAGGTTAACATAGGTCAGAGCTACAACACAGCTGAAGAGAAAGGAAGCAAGGGAAGCCATGTTCAAACAGAGGCGCAGCAATGGAGCTCAGACACGGGAAGGCACACCTGCTCCCCCGCACTCGAGACCTGCGACCTCAGTGGCATACTTGCCTCCATCATGTCGGCGTGCATGCGGACTAGCCGCTGTACCCGCACCTTCTTTCCTGTCCTTGTGTTGTAGATGGTGTTTCCCTTCTTTAGTTCGCCTTGATAATTGCGGACATAAGTTAACTGTCCAAATCGGCCTGCCTAGAAGTCAAGAGTTCGTTTTTAGAAGGACAAAAGCAACTGAAATGGAAAGGAAAGCTTTCAGCTATCTCCAAATAGTCTTTCAGTTTTAGAAATCATCGTATATACATGTTTTTAGTTAATTGTCATACTATATAGCCATTTGAATATCAATACAGTCAATGAAATAACTGCAGCTGATCCATCTTTCTGGTATCAGAACCCAAAATATTCTTGTGCTTCTAATGTTATTACGTTATTATTTATATAAGTTATCTTTTTGCTTTCTAACATTTCAAAATTTCAGCTTAATACAATATGGTATGAAAAATTAGGTGTAATTATGAAGACAATATACCCTTAGAATGTCTTATTTGTCTAAAGCCACCTTTAACAATCACTTGCAAAGCACACAAGAGTTCTATGAAGAACTAAAGAATATCTAGTCTTATGACTTGCCCTTTATTATCATGTTAATTTATATATTTAGTGGTATAGTAAAAATATCCCAACAGAATATTTTAGATGTATTTTTTAAATTACGTGTGTGCATGCATTTTAGGGGCGGGGCGGGGGGAGAGCTCTGCACTGTCCATGAGTCAATGTCAGACAACAGCCTACAGGACCGGCTCTCTCCTGTCACCACAAGGGGATCAGACTCAGGCCATCAGGCTTGGTGCTCGAGCCTTAAGCCACTGAACCACCCCACAGCTCCCAATAGAAATTTCAGTTAAGTCACCTTAAAATTCCTTTAGAGGAATGTTTAAAAACAGACATTTCTCAAAAACTACAATGATGAGAAAAAAAAACCTCTTACTGATATAAAACATTAAATGCTCATATTTAAAAGTTTACCACCACAGCCATAAAGAGCAAAACAATGCCATTTTCAGGAAAATACATGGACCCAGGGCCTATATTAAGCAAAATAAATCAAACACAGACATTTATAAAATATTTTCTCTGAAATGTAGGATCTAGATTTAAAAGCATCCACAGAGCATATGAGAGTATAAGGGCGTATATTTGGAAAGGAGACCAATGGGAAAACTGGAGAAATAACAGAGTAATTGGAAAATTGGTAGAGAACCAGAACAAATTATATTAACAATTCATTAGACTGTAATATAAACATCAAGGGTATAAATATATTCACTAATGGATGATAAAGGAAACAACAAATAAATAGAAACGAACAGAACTGCTTACAAATGGTAACTGGATGCCTGGTTTTCTATTTGGAGGCAGCACAGACACACTATGATACTTCACTAACCCTGACTCAGAAAAACAAATGTCTCAACAGCTCTCCCACGTGGATCCTATCTTCAAACTTCCAATTCTCTTCATTTAATCTGAGTCTCTAGGAACGGGCAGAGTGACTGGCAGGCTGCCGACACCTCACACCTATGGGTAAGCATTAACTATACCCTGTGGGCTATTTAAAAACATGAAAAAGATGGTGGGAGGGCTGGCTCAGCAGTTAAAGGTGCTGCTCTTCCTGAGGGCCTGAGTTGAATTCCAAGCACCCACATGCCAGCTCACAGATGCTATAACTATACGCTCATGGGATCCTGTTCCCTCTTACAGTATGCAGACATACAGATAAAACATCCATACACATAAAATACATACACAAATAAATAAATCTTAACTAAAAAAAAAAAAAAAAAAAAGATTATTAGTGTAGAAAGGAAAAGTACTGAAAGGGTCCAGGGGGAATGGGAGGGGAATTGGGTTATATATGATCAAGATACATTGCAGGCATAATGAAATTATCTAATGATCTTTAAAAAGTCTTTGTTTAAATATATAACAAGAAAATATCAGAAAGAGAAAAGATTCAACCTCACAACATACATAAAACAAATTCTACTATATTAACAATGCAGAGACAAAAACAGAAAATGAAAGTATATTATCAACAAAATATATACAAAGAAAAAAGTCCCCAAGTTCAAAATGGAAAAAAAAAAATGAAGACTGATATTTTATTACAAATTTTAAGTTGCTAACTGCATTCAAAAATCCCGATTGTTAGCTGAGCAGGTGGCACACACCTTTAATCTGAGCACTTGGCAAGCTAGATCTCTGCGTTCAAGGCCAGCCTGGTCTACAGAGCGGGACAGAAAAACCTGGTCTCAAAACACTACAAAAAAACCAAACCAAACAAACAACAACAAAAAAAACTTGTTAGCAAAAGTTTGACCTTAATAAAAATGAAAGTTATTATTTAAATCTACAAAATAAGAAATGCAGGTTGGAGAAATGGCTGAGGGGATAATAGCAGGTGTTGCTTTTCCAGAGAAGCCAAGTTTGGTTCCCAGCAGCCACAGCAGGCAGCTCATAGGGCCTGCTCAATGGGCTCTGGTTCTGTCTTCTGGCCTCTGTGGGCACCTGCACCTATACGAATACACCCTCACTAATTAAAAATAAAACTGCACTATAAACACACAGAAAGCAGCCATCTCCTCCAAATGAAGCATTTCCTCGACATCCCCACCTGGAGAGAAAACCTGGATCATGAGATTCAGAAAATGAAAACCTCCCAGGACCCAGGGAAAGTTGGAAGACTCAAGAGCCCTCACTGTGGCTAGAAGCAGAAAGGTTCTGGGAAGACCAGCGTCTAGGTGCAGCCACCTGCCAGCGGGGCGCAGCTCTTAGGAGGTCTCACCATGCAGGGCTGGAGGGTTGGTGCTGCAGCTGTTCAGGGCCTGGCCATGCTCCTGAAGCCTGCCCTGGTGAACTCGCTGCTGTCACTGGTGTCCTAGCTGAGTGATGGGCGCTTGCTTCTCTCTCAGGACAAGTCACTTAGCAGCCAAACTTGATGACTTTTGTGTAAGGAGTACAGCAAGAAGGGAGGGGAAACACAGGACAGTTTTATAGGGAAGATACCTTACAAGCCCTACCCAAGTCAGGTGATCAAGGTTAGTGAAAACCAGTGTGTTTGACATGTGACGAGAATGATATTTTTCTCTGCAGTCAACCTAATCTAATCCTCACAGGAACATCAGGAAATCTCAAACTGAAGACAGTCCTGACTAGTACTTCTCAAAAATGTCAAGGACATGGGTGGCAGGGGGAAAACATCTCAGAAACAGTCCATAGGCACTGTCGTAGGGTTTGCATTGCAGCCATGAACATCACGGTCAGAAGCATCTAGGGAGGGTTTACTTCAGCTTGGCATTCCAGCACAGTCCAGCACTGAGGAGGTCAGGACAGAAACTCAAGCAGGACAGGGACCTAGGGGCAGGAGCTGATGCACAGGCCATGGAGGGGTGCCGATACTGGCTTGTTCCTTATGGCTTGCCCACTCTGCTTTCTTATAGAACGCAGGACCACCAGCCCAGGAGAGGCACTGGCCACACTGTCATCATCCAAGAACATGCTCCACAGGCCAGTCTGGTACGAGTATTTCCTCAGCTCAAGGTCCCTTTTCCAAAATGCCTCCAGCTTTTATCAAAGTGACATAAACTAGCTATGACAGGAGCCTAAGGGGACATGGGAACTTAATCTAATGTGCCAGCTGAATGGGATACAAACAGAAAGGGGATATAAGCAATAAGCATAAATATTTTAATAAGTATGGGTTTTATTAATAATAAATTAATATTGTTCCATTAGTTGCCATTAGCTGCAAAGCTTACTAAAAGGAAGGAGTGAATTCTCTGTACGATCCCTACATTTTTTCTGCAAATCTAAAATGTTTTTAAATTCACCTCTACCCATGTTGAAAATTAAACAGGTAGGCATCTTGGCTGGAGCGATGGCTCCGCAGCTATGTGCATTTGTTGCTCTCACCAAGGACCCAGGTTCAGTTCCTGGGACCCACAGGTGATCACAGCTGTCTGTTATTCCAGCTCCAGAGGACGGACACACACGCTCTTCGGCTTCCAAGGGCGCTGACATAGGTGCACACAGACGGACATGCAGACAGAACACCCACACATACAAACTAAAAATAAACAAATCCTTAACATAATGTAGACTTTAATTTTCAAAGTCTCGATAATAATTGCATTATAAAGCTACACCCTAATTCACTTACACAAACTGTAATAGCTGTACATTTCCAATAAGCTATAGATTTCAGTTTTAAAAATAGAGCTAGTTTGAGTTCCTTCATAAGTGACTCAGGACAACTTTTTTCTAAAATCGGACCCAGTACTCTTTATAATAATGTCCAATAATTAGATAGTTTTAAGCCAATTATGGAATATTGACTTAACACACTCTTTTACGTTTTGTTTTTGTTTTGTTTTTCTGAGACTGGGTCTCTAGCCTTGGCTGTCCAGGAACTCTTTATGTAGACCAGGCTAGCCTCAAATTCAGAGGCCTGTCTCTGCCTCCCAAGTGCCTTAGTTGTTTCACCACCACCCCAGCTACTTAATATAATTTTATACTACTACTTGAAATGTTTATAAGTATGCTGGCAATGGTAGCACACACCTGTAATCCCAGCACTCAAGAGACTGTAGCAAGAGGACTGTCAATCTGGGGCCAGCCTGGGCTACAAACAAGACCCTGTCTGAGAACACAAAACAAGAAGTTAAAGGTTCCATTTACAGGAACATGTCTACATGAATGTTAAATGGAAATACCGGGGTAAAATGACATGGAATATGATTTCTGTGAAACTTTACATTTTAAAACTGCAAAGTGTGGCATCTGAAAACAAGGAACTATCAATTACTGTTGGAGGTTTTGTCCGGTCTTTCCTCTTCTACTTTCCTAAGTGTTTCCTGTGCACATATGGAGTCACTGCATAATGGGGTTAAAAGCCTACTAAGAGAAAACCTTTGCAGACAGCAGTAAGGACATTAGATAGCAACTCACCTCCAGTTTAAAAGCCAGGCCTACAAACGGGTGGGAATTGTCTCTGTTGGCATTCATTAAGATTTTGCTCTTCTCTTTTGAGTCACTTAAAATAAAAGAAACAGAAAACTATAAAGCATAAGACTTGGAAGTACTCCCGTGTGTGCGTGGTGGTATACACATCCGTGTGTATGCATGCTTCTGCAGGCAGGCGTGAACAGAGGCCGCGGATGACCTCAGCTGCCCTGCTCCGTCACTCTCTGCCAGCACTCCCCAGAGATCCTCCCGTCTCCACAAGAGCACTGGTGTGACCAGCACACCCCCAAACACAGCTTTTCCACCGCTGCTCACGCTTCCACAGCGGGTGTGCTGGCCCGCTGAGACTTCTATCTAGCCCTGAATACTTCCTCCATATCAACCTGTTCTTAGCAGAGAGGGGTATGTGTTTGCTAACGATTCCTGCCTTTCACATACAGAAAGTTTCCTTGAACGAGTCCAGGAAGAGTGAGTCCTAGGGGCTGTGTGACTTTGGTCCAGGCAGGACCAAAGTAGATTTAAAAAGCTACAACTGTGGTAGGGTATGCAGAGAGTGATGTTAAAAAGCTTCTTTCCTTGTTGTTGGTTTACATGGTATTTATTCTGTGTTGTTTTAATTATATCACATGTATGTAGCAGGAGACATGTATGTAGGTAGAGCAGAGGACAACTTCTATGAGTTGGTTCTCTCCTTCCATAATACAGGTTCTGGGGGTCAAACTGAGGTCATTAAGCTTGGAGGCTAATGCATTTATTTGATGTGCTATCTCACTGACCCAAGTTTCATATTTTTTAAGTGAAAAAAAATCTATATCTGAAAATAAATGATGCTACATCAAAAAGACATAAATATTAAAGTATCTTTTCATAAACCAAGATTCAGATGGCAATACTTACTCCTGATTAAGTATAGCATAATTCTGAACTTCAGATGGATTGGGGAGGAATTCTAAAACAGCATCCAAAAGAGGCTGAACTCCTTTGTTCTTCAAAGCACTTCCCAAAAACACAGGTGTAAACGATCTACTCAGAGTCGCTCTTCGGATTGCCAGCTACAGAACACAGAGAAAACGACTTGTGCTAACAATTTATTTTCCAGGTCAATTATGAACAAACAAAATGAACTGATACTCCAGGGAAGAGACAAAAATAACACCTCAATAACAGTAAAAATATTGAAAAATCTGCTTTTCCTGGGGCCAAGAAGTGATTTATGAGACAATTACTTTTTGACACTTATAAAATCTTTTCTTTCTATCTGGTATTAAAAGAAGTACATACATATAAAATAGACATATAGAATATTGTAAACTGTATGTTACTCTGATTGTGTAAGAGGGAGAAGACATATATATATAGAGAGAGAGAGCTGAGTGTGGAAGCACATGCTGTTAATCCCAGTACTTGGAGGCAGAGGCAGGTGCATCTCTATGAGTACAAGGCAAGCCAGTTAATAAGACCTTTTCTCAAAATCAAACAAAAACAAAACCAAGTCTCTAGAAAGATCAGAAACTACTAGGTTCCAATTGGGGCAGAGAAGAGGTCTTATGGGATAGGAGTATTTTTTACTGTAAACCTTTGGGAAGGTTAATTTTAATTGTCAACTTAACACAGTTCAGAATCCTGGGGGCGGGGTAGGGGCTGTAAACGTCTAAAAATGTCTTTGAGGGATTATTTTGATAGCATTCATTCAGGTGGGAAGACCCTCACTGAGTGTGGAAGGCATCAGTTCACATGCTAGGTCCTCAAAAAAGAAAACACGAGCTGAGCAGAAGCAAGCACGCATTGATGCATTGCTCTCTTACTGCCTGAAATCACCTTAAGAATGCTTGTGCTGTCTCAAGGACTCAGAAATGGCTGTGGGAAACTAAATGAGGTTTTCCCAAGCCATTTTGTCATAATGGCTTTCCTCTTCTCTTTAATATGCAAATACGAACACACAGCACCATTACCATACTTAGTCCACAGCTTTGAAACACTGAACCTTTGGGGGTGGGAAATGGGATGGAAGGCATGGTAAACTAAAACCATCCCATAAAGAAATCCTATGAAATATCCATTTCCCAAGATTTTCCCTTCATTGCAAACATTTTCACACTAAAAGTTACTGTTTTCCAACATGTCAATAAGCGTCCAACCACAGCCCAGAGGCTAACACGTGCCCACTCTACCCGAGGAGACGGAGGACTGCCTCTCCTGCTCTCCGCAGAAAGCTGGTAGAGTCCTGGTGTCAGCAGCATGGGTCTTGGGAAGAGCCTCATCATTTTGAACTGGCAATGATGGTTTGCCCTGCTGGTGGTCTGCCCAATGCGGTGTGTTAAACGCTTTCCTTTGAGAAGACCAGAATTTGAGTTCGTGCTAAGTGGACTCAAGTGAAAACCTTGGACCCTGAGTTTCTCTTGGTTTTGCTCTGCTCAGTTTAGTTTTTTTGAGCCATGGTCTCCATACACAGTGCGGGCTAATCTCAAACTTGGGACTCCTGTCTCAGACTCCCAGGGTGGGGACAGCATGTCCATGGCACAGACAGCCTGAGCTCCTCAGGTGCTGTGACAGATTCCTGGGGAGGATCAATTCTGGGAGGTTCCTCTGGAAACTCACACACGGGCTCCTCCAGATTATCTCACGTGCCTTTTCCCTTTGCTTAGTGTTCTCAGTGGAATTAAAGCCATTAGTGAAACCATATGTTAAATTTTGTTAATTCCAGTGAGTTACCAAACCTATGAGAATAATCTTAAAAACTTGACATATTTTAATAACATACACCTCCTTCTTTATGGTGGTTAGCAACATATACTTGACTTTATTTAGGGCTAAACCGAGTGTTCTCTATTCATCAAGGCTAAGCTGCTAACTCCTGTGAGTACGTCACAGAACTCACAATACAAGGTAAGACCCAGTTTGACACGTCAATGAAAATCAACAAGGACCCTCAGCTGCAATAGGGTTCTTTCTTGTGTGTGATTGATTGAGTCTGTATTTACATGTAACATCTTATGTACAATAATCACCTATCCGATCTCTGCCATGCATAACAAGTGGTTTAAAAAGATCAACATCTTTTTAACAATACATAAAATTTACCATTTTAACCATTTTGAAGGATATAACTCAATAACATTCATAATGCTTTATAACTCTTATCATTATCCATCTTTAAAACTTTTTATATTCTTCAATTAAAACAGCTATTCTCGAAAATAAAGGCTAGCGACTTATGTGATCACTTATCTCTATCTGTCTGAGACAGGGTACTCACTCCATAGACCAGGCTACTCCCTGTGTAGTGAAGGAGAACCCTGAATTAGTGGGAATTGTCCTGTGTCAGCCTCCAGATACCGGGATACAGGCCTGAAGCCTCCACACTCAGCTCAATACTCTACTTTCTATACATTTGACTACCTTGGTATACACATAAACAGAAGCATAAAAAGAACTATCTTAGAAGTTTGGCATATTTCACTAAAATGTCTTCACAGTTAATTTATGCTGTCACATTCCTCACAATCTTACTTTTTTAGGGATAAAAAAATACATGTACAGACTGTATAATTTTTATACATTTGTTTCAGTGAATGTTCATTAAGGATTGAGTCTACCCTTTGACTGTGGATGCTGCTTCTAGAGGTACAGCTAAGCCAGCTGGGACCCCTCTTTCTCAGAGCTTGCCTCAGGGAGAGGCCATCCTTTTCTCACAGTGGTTGGTACATTTCTTCCAGGAAGGCAAGAGGGCTTGAACTTCTCCACATCCACACCAGTACATGCTTTCTGGGCCCTTTCTTTTTTTTGTCTACTTGTTTGGTCCTAACTAACATTCATCTTCATGGCATGAACGGTACCTCGCTGGAGCTTTGATTTGCATTTTTCTAGTGATTAGTACTGAAGAACATCTTTTCACGCACTGACACGAATATCTTCTTTGGGGAAATGTTTATCCAAAAGTCTCTGGCAAAAATCTTTACTTTTATGGACATCAATTACATTACATACTTTTATTCAGATTTCATTAATAAAGCCCATTAACAAATGAATCATGTTCTCTGCCCCCAAATCAATCCTTTTTTATAATTTAAGATTTGTTTTGAGGGACTGGAAAGATGGCTCATCAATTAAGAGCACTGGCTGCTCCTCCAGAGGACCTGGTTCAACTCCCAGCACCCACATGGCCGCTCACAACCATCTGCCACTCCAGTTCCAGGGATACAACGTCTTCCTCTGGCCTCCAAACATACTGCCTGCAGGCAAACCACTCATACACATTATGAAAAGATTATTTTGGGAGCACTTGCCTTTAAATCAGAAACTGAGGGGATTTTCTCTTCCAGGAACAGCTCACCAAGCTGCTCATCTGAATTAGCAACACATTCGATTAGCTCCTGCCGGTGGTCAGCTGCTGCGGCCCTCAATTCAGCTGGAATCTCACCATATCGCACAATCTGACTAAGAAAAAGAATGAGTTACTTTAGAAACTCTAGGAATGTTCAGCTAAACATGCAAGGCATCAAAGGTGTGGCTAACACCCATGGTGTTTTGTTAATGCTAAGAGCTCTGAGGCATCTGCACTCAAACAGCAAATAAGACAGCATGCATCTTTACAATTCAGACAACACAGTGGGCATAGACACTTCAGTGGACCAAGAAATTTGCTCAAGAATGTGGTAAAGGAAGAGCCTAAACTCGACAGTCAGCTCCAAGGGAAACAAAGCAGTGTCCCTGGTGTTATAATGGGCATCACAGTCCATTTTCACACAAATCAACTTTCTCAGAATGATATATGATGAAACGGAAAAATGCTTCCCAATTTAATACAAACGGCATATCTTATTCTAGAGATTAAACCGAGCCACAGGACACGAGGTCAAAACAATGACTTGGGAGCCAGGTGTGGTGCCACATGCCTTTCAGTGAGTTCGAGAACAGCCTGGTCTCTGTGGCAATTTCCAGGCCAGGCAAGACTACACAGAGAAAGCTTGTCTCCAAAAATAAATAAATAAATAAATAAGCAACAACAAAACCTCAGAAAAGTTATCAATTAAATAAGGGATTAAAATTCTTCTCAGTATCGCTAAAGGCCTATTTTTACTGCTAGCTAACTGAAAAAGTACCATTTATTTAATACCTGAATCAGCACCACATGAAACTAGAGATCAGTTAACTCTCACACCATAAGAAAGTTTCTATTATCTGCACTTTTTGATGAGAAACCTAGTTTAAACAAGCTAAGTTATTATCAGCTCATTTTCAAGCTAATCCATACGAACCGAAGCCTAAGGTTTTGAAAATTTTATTAACAAGGGAACTAAGATCTGAAGGCTTTAAGATTTAAAAGGCTTCTGTCTAGTCTGATGCTTCTGTCTTGAAGGGGGTGGGAGTGTGGAGGTTGGGGGGTGGGCTCTGAGGAAGAATCCTGCTGTGCAGCCAAAGCTGGCCTTAAGCTTGCTCCTGACTCAGCCTCTCCTTGCTAGAATGACAGACTTGTGCCCTCAGGTCTGGCTTTCCATTAGAAAATGAATGGCTTGACACACACTGGGACTGATGCTGTCAAACATCAAGTGCGCTACACCTTCCCATTGTTGGAGTTGGTGTGTTTACTCCTTTCCTCTTCAGCCCCCACATCAGCAGTTCTCGGCCTGGGACCCCTGACCCCTTTGAGGGCCACATAGCAGATGTCCTGCAGATATTTACATCAAGATTCATAACAGCAGCAAACTTACAGCTATGAAGTTGCAACAAAAATAATTTTATGGTTGTGGCCACCACAACATGAGGAACTGTGTTAAAGGGTTTCAGTATCAGGCAGGATGAGAACCCCTGCTCTACATGAATTGAGAATTGCTGTTGAGATTGAAGAATGCATTATGCTTGTTCCGTTTCTTACTCCAAATTGGGATATTCTAAATAAAAGGTTGTGTGGTCAGCTTTGTTATTTCTAGGAAAAGAGTAAACTATCTAGGATCCATTGTGGTGGCTCACACCTTTAATATTAGCACAGGAAGCAGAAGTAGGCAGATCTCTGTGAATTTAGAGAAGCCAGCCAGCCAAAGCTACACAGTATGTCTCAAAAAAAAAAAAAAAAAAAAAAAAAAAAAAAAATTCTGATTATGGTCAAGAGAGTTTTCAAGAGGACTTCCTTCCAACAGGTTAGCAGGAAACCCTCAGAAAGGAGCCTTGGGAAGCCACTGGGATCTTCCTTAGGGCCAAGGATCCTGACTCCTACACTGTCTAGACCACTGTTACTCAAGCTGTAGTTTTTAAATGTTCTAAATCTACAAAACCTGAGAAGTTTCCAGAAATACAAATTTCATTCCCTAGCAAAGACTTACTAAATCAAAATCATGTAGGTAAACCCAGAAATGTGCTGTAACACACCCTTCAGATGTTTTAATAAAATGATGACTTTCTTTTTAGATTTACTTCATGCATAAGCATGTTTTACTCACCTGTATGTCTGTGTACCATATGAATGCCTGGTGCCCAAGGAGGTCAGAAGGGTGTGTCACATCCTCTGAATTGGGGTTACAGACACTTGTGAGCCACAAGTGCTGGGAACTGAGCCCAGGTCCTCTGCAGAAGCAGAGAGCTCGGAACTGCTGAGCCAGCTCTCTAGCCCCTTTATGTTATTTTTTTTGACACAGGGTCATTCCTGAATCGGGAACGAGTCTTGATTTGGCTAGATTGGCTGGTCACCTGTCTCTCCCCCAGGCCTGGGACTAGAGATTTGTGCTCCCACACTGGGCTTTTAAGTGGGTACTGGGGATTCAAATTCGGATCCTCACGCTTCTGTGGGAGGCACTCTACTTACAGGCCATTTCTCCAGTCTACTTTTGTTATCTTATGAAGCATGTCAGACAAGTATTTATAATCTCTATTTTCTTCAACTTTTTATCATAAAACTCAGGCTTTATAGAAATGCAACTTTAAGTCAGGCATGGTGGCACATGTCTTTGATCCCAGCTTTTAGGAGGGAGATGCAGCTGGAACTCTGTGAGTTCAAGAACAGCCAGAGCAAGGTAGACAGGCCCTGCCTCAAAAAAAAAAAAAGCAACTCAAGGTGCTGCAAACTGAAATGAGCAATGAACCGAAAGAACTGAAGGCCCCTTTCATAGCATGGTGGCACACCCCTGGACCCCCAGCGATGGGTGACTGAGGCCAAACCATGAAGTCTAGCCTGTGTTCTCCCGCTGAGCTACACCCCCAGCCCAATACAGTCATTTCCCAGCTAAAACTGGGCTACGTAGGAGACTTTACAAAGGTAAGGGTGGGACGCATGCATGCACAACTAATATGATCTGTGTAGTCCAGAGTAGTGACACGTCCTCTCTCTAGAATGAATGCTAATTTTAAGTCATTAAAAATCACCTGAAAAACTAGCACTCGAGCACATTTCAAAAAGATAATTAGTGTAAGCTTAACATATGTCGTCCTTTTCTTTGATGCTTTCCAAAATGTAAGGTGTTAATAGTGTGTTTTGCACTTACCCAAAGTCGCCCTCAAAGTAAATGGCTCGTTCCTCGATGAGGTCTATGATACCCTTGAAGTCGCCCTCCAGACCAATGGGCAGCTGCATTAATGCTGCATTGTGGTTCAGCTTGGATCTGAAAGATGGAAGTGTCGTTTGCCTCTTCTCTCAAAATTATTTTAAAGTGACAAAAAGCAAAAACAATGTTGGACGTCAGAGAACTGAGAAGGGCGCTAGCAGCATGTCAGGAGAGAACAGGCATCTAAGTCAAGGAGCTAAAAAGGCAGCCACATGTGAACAATGAAGAACCCCAAACAACCTTCCACCCCAGACCCCAAATATGCTCCTCCAGAAGAAGAAGAAGGGAAAAACAATCAACTGCAGGTGACCAGGACATTAAGACAGTGGATAGCACAGCCTAGTTCTCATTCCTAAATCAAGTGACGGAAAGACAGCAGTGCAGAGGGAGTTCTTGGAGGAAACCGCCATCAGCTGTAGCAGGCACATGCAACTGAAGAGCCTGCAGTTACAGCAGCGACTCTACCTTGAGAGGACATATGCTCTAGCTGACACTGTTTCGTATAATCTTGGTCTCCTTGTGTAACTATACATAGCTAAGAGTTACGAGTATTTGAAGAAAGCCAGGAACCTACAGAATGGTAATATCTTGGACTGGAGAGATGGCTCAGCGGTTAAAAGTTCTTGCTGCTCCTCTACGGGACCTTAATTTGTTTCCGGGCACCTCTTGGGGAGTTTACAACTGCTTACACAGCGCCAGGAAACCTAACACCTCCTTCTCGCCTCCCGGGACAGCTGCACACATATACCTACACAGATACACACACACATAAATAAAAGTCTAACATATACACATATAGATAGATATAGATATATAATTTATTTACTTTCATGTGGTGTTTTGCCTGCATGTATTATCTGTGTGAGGGGCCAGATCCCCTGGGACCAGAATTACAGACAGTTGTGAGCTGCCATATGGAGCTGGGAATTGAACCACGTCCTCTGGAAGAGTAGCCAGTGCTCTTAACCACTGAGCCATCTTTCCAGTCCCCTAAAAATATTAAAAAAAAAAAAAAAAAAAGTGTTAATATCCAAGAATAGTAACCCGGGGAAAGAAAATTTAAATCAAAATTTTGTAGTGCCGGGGATTAAAGAAGGCGGAAAGTGCTCTACCACTGAGCTACACCCCCAGAATAAACTTAGAAATACGAAAAGTACCTCTAGGAAAAAAGATATTACAGTAAGTGAAAATTTATGGAAATTAGCTACATAATTGCTGAATATTTTTAAATGGCTAAATAACAGAAAAGACTATCAAATTCAGAGCTAAAAATTAACCTCAAAAATTACTCAATATGATTGCTCAACTGCTGGAGACACTTGCCAGGAAGGCTTGACAACTCAAAATGAAATCACCGGCCCCATGTGAAGGCGGAAGAAGAGCAAACCATACAGCTGTCCTCCAATGCCGCGTGTAAGCAGCATGGGGCTCACCGCTCCCCACGCACATACATGTTCAACACACACACAGTAACAAGAAGTAAATAGAAAGGAGTCCTCTCATGGGCCAGTGCATAAGAAGAGGGAGAGAGAACAGTGACACAGAAGAAGCCAGCAAATGAAGGCCGGATTCAGGAGTCCCAAACTGACTTCATGGGAGTTCCAAACTGAGAAAAGACAAACAGGAGTCAGACAAAGGACCAAAGTAATCAAGTCATGGAGAAAGAGAAGGTTCTCAGAAATCAGAAAAAATATTGCTGGAGAGAGTTCACCTACTAGCAAGCATGAGTAAAATAAGAACCAAAAAATGATTATTTTTACCAAGGAAGCAGTTTAAATACCCAAGAAAGATAAACATTACTTTCACATATTCAACTGCATTTTGGTCAGATCTGCTGTCATGCGATAACCACTCTCAGCCCACTGACTACACAGGTCCCGGCCTCTATCCATCAGCCCTGCTGTGTAAATCTGACAGCGGCATGACAGCCACACCTGGAACGTTTGTTAAGACCTAAACCTCCTCCAGTTTATCCGCGAGCACCTGCAATTTCCCGGACAGCAGCACAGCAGCATACGCTGCCTGACTGTTTTCTGGAATCATCACCTACCCTAGAAACACAAGACACATTTCCCCACTTCAGAGGCAGCAGCTGATGAACCGCAGGGTGGGTTAAAGCACTGAGACTATGCTCCATTTCCTACGAAATGCGGTTTTGAGTCGAGAAAAAACCTTTAGGATACAACTGAATAAGTGAACTGAGTGTGAAGTCCAGCACAGCTGAGGCTCAGTACCTCATTTGTTGAAGGGCCCTGGCCGGGTTGGAGCCCAGCCGGTCCAGTTTGTTAATGAAGGTCAAAAACGGGACGTCGTAGCGCTTCATCTGCCGGCACACAGTCATGGTCTGGCACTGCACCCCGCCGACAGCACACAGAACCAGGACTGCACCGTCCAACACCCGCAGGGCCCGCTCCACTTCTATTGTGAAGTCCACGTGGCCTAAATGAGGCAAAGCAGCATGGGAGAGGTTTAAGTTAAAGAACAGTTTGAATTTTCAATATGCAAACCATTTGTCCTTGTTAGGTTTCCCATTGCTGCGATAAAACAGCAAAAAGAGAACAAGGAGTAAGAGTTTATTGGCAGTCCGTCATCAGGAGAAGCCAAGGTAGGAATCAAGGCAGGAATGGAAGCAAAGGCTGCTCACTCACTTGCTCCTCAGGGCTAGCTCAGCACAATCTATTACAGACCCAAGACCACCTGTCTTAGGGGTAATGACCTAAGCAGGGCGCTGACCCAAAGAGTGGCCTACAGGCAACACCTCTAAGGTTTCTGTTCCCACCTGACTCTAGATTGTATCAAGGTGACAAAAAAACTAACCAAGACAATCTTGTCAACCTTGCATATCAATACAACAGTCTTAAACAACAATCTTTCCTTTCCTGCTTATCCTCAAGATCTCATGTTAATATTACTATCACAATATAAAACATAACGTTAAAAGTCTCAGTCTTTGGAATCCCAGGGTCTCTTTCAGAAGTCTAAAGCCTCTCCTGAATATCCTAGAAGTCCTAGCTGTGGGTTTCTGAAAAATAAAAACCCAAGTTCAATACTTGCTTACTCTTAAGAAGATGAGTCAGGCACAGGCACTCTCCAATCAAAGCACAGCCACACTTCAGCAAAGGGCTTGGGCAGCTCCAGTGCTCTGGCCTTCCAGCCACACACACAGCTTCTCTCCTAGGCTCAGGCCAGCTCCACTCCACAGCTGCCCGCAGTCCTCAGTGGCCACTGCACAAATACCTCCAAAATGCTGGGGTCTCCCCTGAAACCAGGCTGTACCTTCACTACGGCCTCTCCTGGGATCTCTCGGGGCGAACCCTACCACATGGCTCTGTCAACTCTGGACCTTCTGCAATGGAGGCTGCACACACACCAATGGCTTCGCACAGCGCTGCGGCTCAGCTGCTCTCCAAGAACCCTTCATGCCTTCAAAGCCAGTACTAACTGGATGGCTCTTACACACTGCCATGTCCAGCTGCCAGCAATGACATGCAATCTTGGTCTCCCTTGAACAGCACAGCTTCTGTGCGCTGACCCTGGGGAAATATTCCCAGATTTCACCTCAGTGATGCTCGTTTCTTCTTAAATTACTACTAATTTCTCACCTCCAGCTGACCAGTATTGACGTCTCAGCAAAGCAAATGTTTTACTTTACTTTACCTTTACTTTGCTTATTAATCACAACTGATTCTTTAGCCCCAGCTGAGCAGACACCGCATGGTATTCTTAATTCAGAAAACAAGCGGCCCTCACAAAGTCTTTGCTTCCCTCTAAAATGTCACAATCAGGCCTCTCTCAGCTACAGCTCTTTCAGCATTCCTACTTCCTAAGCACCCTCAATAGCTCATCAGATTCTGACCACCCAATGACTTTCTCAGCTCAAAGTTCCAAAGTCCTTCCACAGTCCTCTCTAAAAACAACATGGTCAGATCCGCCATAGCAGTAACAACAACCTGTACCAAGTTCTCTATTAGTCTGTTTCCTTTTTCTTTGATAAAGCACTGACCAAAAGCAATTTGGCAAGGAAAGGGTTCATTCGCCTTCCAGACTACAGCCCATCATCAGGGAAACCAAAGCAGGAACCTGGATACTGGAACTAAAGCAGATACCGTGGAGGCTGCTTACAGACTCGCTCAGCCCACCTTTTTATATGTCTCAGGACCACCTGGGTGCACAAAGGAAGGGAGTTGGGGGATTGTGGTGCCCGTGGCCTTGGCCCTCTATCAGTTAGTAAAATGCTACAGGCAATCTGACAAGTTGACAAAACTAACTAACCTGGACACTATTAAAAATTTTCAGTCGAGCGGGGAATGGTGGCACAAGCCTCTAATCCCAGCCACTTGGGGAGGCAGAGACTGGTGGATCTCTGTGAGTTCGAGGCCATACTGGTCTACAAAGTCCAGAACAGTGAAGGCTACATGGGAAAATGCTGTCTTGAAACAAAACAAAACAAAACAAAACAAAACAAAACAAAGAAGAAGAAAAATAAAACAAAAAAAGTTTTACTCTCTGCTCATTACACATATCTTTAAATTGTAGATTCCTCGTGTCATCAGGTTTATGCAGCCGGCATCAGGTTTAAGGCTTAATATAATTCCTTTAAAGGGTCCTAGGGAACGCTAGAACATGCTAAAGGCGAGAGCACTTCTTACTTTCTCGTATTATTTCTCAAAGAAGCAACATACAGGTGAAGTGCGGTAAGTCCCAAGTCTGGCAGGAGTTCAGTTTTGTACTTGAAAAATTTGATACTCAAAGGTGAACTGGGACACAGTAGGAAAAAGAACTCCATATATCTTTGCCAAAGAAACCACCAAACAAAGGGCTGGCTTACCTGGGGTGTCTATGATGTTGATATTAACATCTTTCCACATGGTATAGGTAGCTGCTGACTGAATAGTGATTCCTCTCTGTCTCTCCAGCTCCATGGAGTCCATGACAGCACCAACTCCATCTTTACCTTTCACCTAAACACAAGCACAAAAATTCAGATTTTTATGTCCTTCATCCCAAGAAAGAAATGTTTACTGAAACGGAACCAGAAAACAGCTAACTGTGAGAGAAGCCCAATCTTCTAACCGTGTATTTCTTAAGACTGTTAGCTGATGATGGGTTTCCTGCCTCAGCTACCATGCTTGTTTTTCCTCCTGAGCAGCTGACAAGTGTTTGGGGCAGCCATGTTTCCCCCTGTACTGCTGGCTGTTGGCGTTGCATAGTCTGTGAACTGACGGTATTGGGGCAGCAGGGCTCTCTCAGCTGCTCCACTTGGACTCTGAGGCACAAAAGGATGGTGGTCAGCATTTCAAGTGTAGGCTTTAGCGGATGCTCTTCACCCCAACAACAGTTCACACTGAGAGTTAAGTTACTCCGTGGTATAGCAGGATCTGAGTGTATTTTAAAAAGCGCTTTTCTGGAGGGTTTGCAGTATAGCTTATATTCAGTGCTCTGAAAGGAAATTCCTGAAAGGAAGCTGTGTCTCGCTGTGAATGCAACACTCCTGGAAGGAATCTGTGTGCAGAGACGGCTGGGCCATTGAATTTCTGTAGTGTGGAGAGATTGGAGTTTCGCAGGTTCAAGGCTAATGGTCTTATGTTGGGCTAGTTTTAGCCTTCTGGGACAACAGTGCTTTGCCCTGATCTGTAGCTGAAGTAATACCTCATGGGAAGGAACCAACGCCTCTTAGAAGCTAGTAACTTAGCAGAGCACGAGCTTCTTCCAATCCTAAAGCTAAGAATGTCATCAGCGAGCATCGTGGGCTTAAAGAATGGTTTCCCATCGCAGTGAGCTGCCTCACCAGTGCATTTTAAACTTGCCTTGTTTTATGACTCTTTGTTCTGTAAAACTAAATCATTATGACATTGCTTGCAGGCTGGAACATGAAATTTGTGATAACCTAAATCTGTTTCTGAGCCATGATCACTCAACATGACTCCAGAATAAAACTCTTTTATTTCCTTTAAGATGAGAGCTGTGGTTTGTTTTTTTTTTTTTTTTTTTTTTTTTTAATATCAACAACACCTTCTGAAATTCACTTCCCATTTAACATTATAAGCCCGGACCCTTCATTAAAATGGCCAAGACTGTTGTTAACAGCTGTGTAAAGGTCCGTGACACTGACTCAACATTTACTCAGGATCCTCACAGTGATCACTTCTAGAGAGATTAACCTGTAACATTTCAAGACAGCTTGACCTCTCCTTTCTGTACAATGGTTCTCAACCGGTGGGTCGTGACCCGTCTGGATGAAGTGCTCCTTCTGGGTAGAAGGACCCTTCCATAGAGGCTGCCTAAGACCACTGGACAACACAGATATGTACATTATGGTTCAAACCATAGCAAAATTAGTTACAAAATAGCAATGAAAATAATTTTATGGTTGGGGGGTGTCATCAAAACAGGAGGAGCTGTATTAAAGGGTCGCGTCGTGAGGAAGGTTGAGAACCACTGCTCTGCGCCCACTGTTTTCATCTTAACACAAGGTTTGGTGGAACTTATAAAAACCGTAACTACAAAGCAACAGAAGTCAAGCTCCCACAGCTCGGGAAGCAGCCTTTAGCCACGCACCTCATGCATCCTGGCAATCCTGCCAGTGTAGTAGAGCACCCGCTCCGTTAAGGTCGTCTTCCCAGAGTCAATGTGGGCTGAGATCCCAATATTTCGTATTTTTTCATTGGGAATTGTTCCCGAGGAGCACCATCGGTAGGCCGTCCAGTTAGCCTGAAGAACAGATTTTAAAAGCTCGATTTAACACACTTTTAGAAGAGAGCACTTTTCAAATGGGAACTCTAGACTTTTTTTTGCTCAACCTCAATGCAAGGGGTTAATTATATACACAGCCCTGGATTTAATTCCCAATAGTAATCAAAACTAAAAGTAGTACAGACACTACTGCTAAATGTTAGTGTTAAACTTTTTAGTGTGTGTGTGTGTGTGTGTGTGTGTGTGTGTGTGTGTGTGTGTTTGTGTGTATTTTACTCACAGGCACATCTGTGCACCACAGGCAGGCTCGGTGCCCCCGAGGTCAGAAAAGGGCCTTGGAAGTGGAGATATGGGGGCTCTGGGCAAACATGTGAGAGTTGGGAACTGAACCCTTCCTACGGAAGAGCAGTCACAGGGAGCTCAGAGACAATTTGGAGGACTCCATTCTTGCCCCTCCACAGTGTGGGTCCTGAGAGGGACACTCCGTTTGGCATATTTGGCAACTACCCATACACCTGAGCCATCTTGTCCACCCCAAACCTAAGTTTTAAAACACACACTATCATAAAAACAGAACCTCTCAAGGACCACTTCAGTAAGAAATACAAGGTTTTTCTGGGTGGTGGTGGCGCACCCCTTTAATCTAAGCACTTGCCAGGCAGAAGCAGGAGGATCTCCAAGTTCGAGGCCAGCCTGGTCTACAGAGTAAGTTCCTGGACAGCCAGGGCTACACAGAGAAACCTGTTTCAAAAACAAAAAAAACAAAACAAAACAAACAAAAAAACAAGTTTTAGATTAAATTGTACCTTAGGTTATCTGTCTTCCCCTGTCCTGTAGTTCACAGCTATCAAGGACAGACTCGGTCTACACAATTAACAGCCTCAAGACAACCCCCCAGAAGGTTTGCAACTTTATCTGCACATAAGCAAGGAAGCACCGGTTTGGGTGGTGGTTGTTCCTGGCAACTTTACTGTGAGGAGAGGGGATGTATTCATTCAATCAAAACCAAACCGCACACCCAAACGCTTTGCAACCACTCCTGGAAGAGGGAAACTGACAACGTGTCAAAGGAGACACGTGACCAGTGCTTAAGCCACGGGGACATTTGGCTCCAAAATAAACGAGGGCTCCATGACAGGTAAAGGGGTCACCATCCACCAGTGGCCACCCTACCCTGAGGGTTTCACTCCAAAGACTTACAAAGTTTAATCTACACACCTAACTGGGAAATACGAGCGGAGTAGCGCACCGGGAAGTAGAGCGTCAGATCACAGAACACAGGAACCGCTCGCTCAGAGAGCATCCAACCATGCCCAGTAATCAGAAACCCGGGGTTCGAGCCCCGGGACACTAACTTTCACCTGACCTTCACTCGGGGTACTTTTCTTTAAAGTAGATCATCCCCATCAGGAGGCGGGGACCCCAGCGCAGAGTGCGGGTCGCAAGGCCAGGCTGGCATGCGGGTACCCAGGGGCTTTCGGGGCTCGGGACGCTGCCGCTCAAGAGCCCGGGTGGGGAAGGGGTGTCGCCCGCCCGCCGCCTGCCCGGAAGGCTCGCCGGGCACCGGTACCTGCTTCCCCGGCCAGCCCAGGACCGCAGGGACCCGAGGGAGCGGCCCGCGACCCAGGGACGCGGCGACCCGCAGCAGCCGCATGACAAGTCCGGAACAGCCACTTGCAGATATCCCCGCTCCGCTGTGCTCGGCGCGGGCAGCCCAGCGGGAAGCGCTCAAAGTCACGCCAGCCACCAGAGCCGCAGGAGCACTTCCGGGAGGAAGGTCAGGAGCGGGGCTGGAGGAAGGCAAAGGGAGAGGAGCCTCTGTCGGAGCGCGGTGCGGCGCGCCCTCTGCCGGTCAGGAGGAGAAAGTGCAGCTTGAACCGCGGATTGTCACAGGGAGGTGGCATTACTACTGAGTGGGGGTAGTCTGGTCCGTTTGTCTTTAGAGGAAAATTAATAATAATGAAAATCACCGCTGTGAAAAAAAAAAATGCGCCCGGTGTGATGGCACACGCCTTTCATAAGAACACTTCGGGGGCAGAGCTAGGCGGAGTTCCAAGCTAGCCTGGTTTACACACAGGGTTCCAGGCCAGTCAGGACTAGACAGTGAGACTGGGTTTCAACAAAACGAAACAAAAACAGCAAATATTAATCATGATCGCTTTACCTGCATAGCAATGGGGAAAATACTTATGACAGTTTAAGTGGAAGAAGTCCACAAAATGTTAACATTAGTACAGTACAGAAAGTATGGGGGAAATGATAGTAGATAAACCTTGAATTACAAATAGGTTTTCTTCAAAACGTTCTTTATTGCTCGTCAGGAATACTAGCTGCGCATCCTCGCATCCACAAAACTGCACCCTTGAGCTTCCGCTAGGACATCTTAAAGGCAACTTGACATTTCCAAAATGGAGCTTCTGACCTTGCCCAAACCTCCCCGGCTAAAAGGACCCTTTTAAGTCAGGCCATGTTCCCTCTCTGTAGAAAAAGGTGTCTGGAGTCCATTGCTATCTCTACTTGGGTGAAAATTCAGTGTTTTTCATAGTGCTTTTTGGGAAGGACATTTAGCTCTATTTCCAGTATGCCTAGGCCCTGTACGGGTGGAGACACTGTTGGAAGAGACCAAAGCTTGAAGTCAAGGCACAAGGACACTTCTTTCCATGGGAGAGTGGCTCCCAGCACTTTCCTGTAGAGGAAGGAAATCAGAGGGTTCCTGTGCCTGCAGTGTCCTTTTACCTTCAACTGTAACCCCTCCCCCCACCCCACCCCCCCGGACAGAATAGGGCATCTGGAGACCCAAATACTGGTTCCAAACCCCCGGTCATGATCCTCTGCCCAACATTCCTGTTCTTTTTCATTTCCTCTGAGTCCTTTGTCTTCTGCCTAAGGAGATTCAACAGCCCCCTCACCGTTTCCTATATCTGCATACATCCTGCACTCTCTCTCCTGTAGGTCATTATATTTTATATCTTTCATGATACCACATGATAAAGCACAGTAATGTCTTTCATGGCTCCATTCTTGTTAAAAAAAAAATTCAGAACCATGTTTTTTAGTAGCATCAGCTTAATTCAGAGATTTAGCACTGGAAACACTCTGTACACTTGTTGGCTGGCAGTGCCTAGACTGGGAACGGCTAGTGATACCCTTTGATTATACCTGTTATCTGCGCCAAAGAGAACATCTCCTAAAGTAGGAGCAGAACCCATTGGTGGAGAAGGAAATGGTGATAAGAGAATGTCTGGCAACTGGAGAGGGTGCTTACATCGTTATGGGTTCAGGAATAGCCACACACTGACCACTCAAACACCAGACTCGGACTAATGGAAGTTTATTGAACACTGAACAAAAACTGACCAGGCAGGGATGCAATCTGGACTCTGGAGCCAGACTATGACGCCTGTCTGTTTCTAAGACAGGTATTTTTATTCGAAAAACTATAACCAGGTAAAAAGGTAACAACCAGGTAATCAGGTGTAGAAAGTGGGGGGGGGCAGCATTCCATCATTTTAACTAGCTAAACACAATCGATTTTGTTCCAAATGCATCATACTTAGGTAGCTAGACAAAGCATTTTGAGTTGATTGGCTAGGGCATAGGCTTGGGGACTTTCCAGTTCCTCACCATTCCAGGAGAAAGGAACATGGCAGGATATTGGGGTCTTAACTCAAATAGAGCTTACATTTATTTTTAACTCAAGCAGAACATGCATTTATCATCTATTGTTTTATTCTAAGCAGCAAGTATTGAACTATTGAATTGTGTCCTGGTCTCAGACATGTAGGGCCTGAGAACTTGAATTTAATTTCACCTTATGATCAAAATGGAGACTTGGAGGCAAAATGGCTTCTGATATGCCAAAGGCGACAGCAGGTGTTAATAGAAGAGGCTACAGTAATGCTAGGAACTAAAGTAGGTCTCAACCGACCTGTAGAATTTAAGCAGGTCACAACAATATGGATAACCTGTGTGTCGCTGGAATTTCCACCACTCAATAATTACCTTTCTCCAATCTTTACAAATTCTGTCAAAATTTTGCTTAGTAGTCATAAAAACTGACACATTTAGAACAAGGGTGATGGCTATGAATTTCAATTAGTTCTGAATTCTATTATTGCTGGTGTGTGTCTGATGGAAACATTTTGTCTAACCTCTCCCAGCCCAAATCCTCCCTGATCTACTTATTTTTGGCCCTGAAGATGTAGCAATGGAAGCTGCAATGACTGAAATCTCCAAAAAGAGTTTTACATGGTAAAATAAAATTTTATCTTAAGGTAAAGATTGTTCCAAAATTAAAAATAAAAGATGAGAAAAAATTATTAAAGAAGGCTAAAGCATATTATAAAAATATTGTGAATATAAATTAAAATCTGATGATAGTGTGACTGAGTTAATTACAATTACAGATCATAGAATTTCTAATCAAAATTCTATACCCTGATGTACAGCTGATGTCTCTGTATTTATAGTAAAGTTTTTTTAAAAATATTGATCTACTCTCAGTAATGTTTACAGAAAAACTGATTTGGAAAACAAGGATTTTTGATTTTATCCTCTTTTCTCTCTCTCTCTCTCTCTCTCTGTTTTTTTTTTTTTTTTTTTTTTTTGGTTTTGGTTTTGGGTTTGGGTTTTCGAGACAGGGTTTCTCTGTGTAACAGAGACCTGGCTGTCCTGGACTCACTTTGTAGACCAGGCTGGCCTCAAACAAGTATCCCCCTGCCTCTGCCTCCCAAGTGCTGAGAGCAAAGGTGTGTGCCACCATGAAAGGTCCATGTTTTAGCCTCTAATTGATGAGTCATTTCAAACTTGGTGACGGGATGGGCCGGGATGGTGGCGAATGCTTTTAATCCCTGGCCCCTTTAATCCTGAGGGCTGTCCCAACCTCCCTCAACTGAAGACGCCAGCCAGCTAAGCCTTGGTGGCTGGGCGCAAAGGACAAGCCTGAATGGGAGTATTCTGACTTCCAGTGGCCAGGCTGCGGTGGCTTGGTGTGCAGCTGTGGAACCAGTGTCCTTCCCGGCCACATTTAACACAGATCCCTGGTGGAGTCGACTTAGGCTGGACACAGGCGGGATGGGACCCAGGCAGAGCTTCCTTGTTCTCTCTGCAAGAATGCTGATGGCCTCAGGGCAGCTGCCAAGGTTGGGCTTAGAGTGTGGCTCTGTGCTGTATCCAAGCCTGTTGGGAAGACTCAGCTGCCTCCTCTCGGCAAAGACTTTAAAAGCCATTTTCACCAACTCCTGTATGGAAGTTTAGGGACCATCATCAGCCTTGTTTAAGGTTTTTGGTGTTTGTTTGTTTCAAATATCTGGCCAAGATTGAGAAATAAAATGGGTACTAAGAACCATGGTTCCCACTGGGTCCGTGAGGAAGGTGGGTCCAGGTGAGTTATCTCCGGGACTTAGAAAAATGGCCGGATTTTTGTTCGGTTGTTTCGTAATTTCTCAGAGATCATCAAAGTTAACAACTTTATTTGAGACCAATTTCATACCCTGAAGGAGGCAGCAGATCATTGTTGTGCAAGTATGCCAGATGCCAAAAGACAACCAGGAGTTGAGTCCGTTGGAAAACACAAGAGGATTTTTTTTATTTGCAAGCTATAGCTCAGGCTCATACCCTCACCACTAGAGCAGTTGAAAGCAAAGAGCCTCATGCTCAGGTTCGGTGGTTGATTTAAAGAGTCCAGTCTCTCCCAGAGTGCTGAAAGCAGGGGAATTCCTGCCTGGCAAGTATCTATTGGTTGAAACAGAAAAGGGGATGTTGCATTTTGAATTGATTGGTTATAGGAAGGCCCCCAAACGATTAATGGTCTGGCTTTCCTCGTTTGGCTGTCCTAGGGGAGGGTTGATCTGGGCTGGGTTCCTAGCAACTGTATCTCTAGTGGGCAGGAAAGGAATGCAGTAAGACTGGTTCCTCCCTGCGGTTGGCTGGACATGCCTCCACCTGTCTGGCCTTTGTTCAGGCCTGTGCTTTAAACCTTAATTCAATAACAGAAAAAAAAAATAAGTTTTAATTCTTTAGTCTCTCACCATGAGGTCCCTCTTGTCATAGCCATCTTGACCTGGCTGGCAATTCCCATTGGGTTCCGTAGCTGGCACTGTGTGTTGCCCACGGAGACTGTATCATCTCGAGGTGGGTCTGGTCTGCATACAGCCTGGTGGCTGCCTGAACCCAACTACCTTCAGGAGTGAGGGTAGAAGCCTGTATGACATAAAAGTCAGGCCAGGTTAGGTCATAGGTCTGGCAAAGGTAGTGGAACTCAAAAGTAGAGAGCATCTACCCATCAACTGGAACATTCTGCTCTGATTCTCCAGGAAGCCCCAGTGAGGGGCTGGGATGGCCAAACCAGGTCCCAATTGGTGGCAGTCTCTCCTGTTCCAATGGCTCCCCCCATAATAGGACCCCCTCATTCTCATTTGTCTATTTTCAATGTTTATTCCCTACCTCCTCTACCTTCTCCAGAAATGGATTCTTGAGGTCTCCAGGGTAAAGGTCAATCAGATGCTTCTTCACCCAAAACTCACCAACTCTTGACTCTGCCACCCCAAGCCTCCTCATTTCATAAAGAAGTAGCTGGATTTTAACTCATCATCCATATATATACCCAAAGAAGTCCCGATTTATTTGGTTGACATCTCTGGTTGGCCTCCCTACCCTACATGATCTGGTAAATTCCATTCTCTCTCTCTCTCTCTCTCTCTCTCTCTCTCTCTCTCTCTCCAACAGTAGCCAGGATTAAAAATTAAAAGTAAAAATT